GTGATACTCTGGGTTATATAATAAAATGGAATATGTGCTCCAGTTAATATACAGTAGAGAATGTGTAGGCTATGTAAATGATGATGATGTACAGTATATATAGTTAATTGAGAATAACTGTGATGACATGGGTTATCAGCATTGGGAGCACAGTTAAATGATTTGTAGTTTTTCATGTAGTGGGCTTTTAGAAGTATAATTTTAAGACACTGATCACAGAAAATATTTAATCCAATGATATTTGAAAAATATTCCATTTGTATTATGGGGTGATGGGAAACTAAGCGTTTTGTTTTGTTTTGTTTAGAGTTGTTTTAAATATTTGATTCAGATGGGAATGTTTCAGCCTTTAACACTGTTCCCCTTGATGGGGTATTTGTCCTTGGGTTAAAGGGTTGGAAATCGTGCCAAATGGGATAACATTGACGATGGACTACCAGGGGAGAAGCACAGGGGAGGCCTTCGTGCAGTTTGCTTCAAAGGAGATAGCAGAAAATGCTCTGGGGAAACACAAGGAAAGAATAGGGCACAGGTGGGGATGGAGAGTTTGGGATGGTGTTAAATTTTATTTTTGGGGGTTGTGGGTCACTATTGCTTAAATGGGGGGTAACCATAACATTTTTCTGGGGTAGTATTAAAGAATTGATAATTACCTAAATTTAACATGGAAACTACAGATTTGGGTGGGGAATTAATTCTAATAGTTTAAAATTAGATTGTTTCCATTTCTTTGTAGGATATTAAATTTGTTTTTGTATAATCACCTGTTTTTCTTACGTACCTATTTTGTGCTAAAGGAAACAAACTAAAAATATATTCATAATTCAGTGTTTTCAGATTACTCATTTGTCTATGTAAAACTTAAATATTTAACTATTTAAGTTTGTAGGTGTAAAAATGTTACCTTATGGTTTATTTAGGCAATTTAAATTGGGTTATATACCTAGATATAGACAAACTTACTGCATTTTGCCCAGTATCTAATTTACTCTCAAATACATCTATCTGTGCTAAAACCTGTACTTTAACCCTTTTTAAATAGGTATATTGAGATCTTCAGGAGTAGCAGGAGTGAAATCAAAGGATTTTACGATCCACCAAGAAGATTGCTGGGACAGCGACCTGGACCATATGATAGACCAATAGGAGGAAGAGGGGGTTATTATGGAGCTGGGCGTGGAAGTATGTATGACAGAATGCGACGAGGAGGTGATGGATATGATGGTGGTATGTGTATCTAATGAACAAAGGTTCTGTTGTCATTTTCTTGATGTTCCTGACACTTTGTCAAGAAATACAGAAATGGCAGTAATTTCAGTACCTATGAGGTTTTAAAACCTGTTCATGAAATTGTGGGATTTCCACTGTGGAATTTGATTGATGCACATATTAACACCTAGAAAACTTAATGTAGAAACAAAGATAACGGCATGCTTCTTCTGGGCGTAAAGAAGTTTGGTTTTCATGTTGTGTTTGAATTTATCCTGTGGATGTTTACATTTCTTTTTTTTTTTTTTTTAATTTAATTTTACTTAGGATGTTTACATTTCTATCAAGGGTTATCTGCTTTTGCTTTTTTTTCTCATATGCAGTAAGCTGCAAACATTAAGCTAAAATGATTGACTACAAAATGAATTTGTAAATTAGCTTACAAATAAATTGCTCAGAATGGTATTTTTTTTCCTTATGTTTGCACAGGCTATGGAGGTTTTGATGACTATGGTGGCTATAATAATTATGGCTATGGAAACGATGGCTTTGATGACAGGATGAGAGATGGAAGAGGTAAACTAAGAATATTGTCATGCTTAAGTAAATTTTTACTGTTTCCTTTATAAGATTCCAATAGTAGTAACTAGGCAACTTTGATGGAATAATGGAAACTTGTATCATTGTACTGCCTTGTTGATTTCTATGTATATACTTATGTGAACCCACAATGGTTTATAATCTAGGCATGGGAGGACATGGCTATGGTGGAGCTGGTGATGCAAGTTCAGGTTTCCATGGTGGTCATTTTGTGCACATGAGAGGGCTGCCTTTTCGTGCAACTGAAAATGATATTGCTAATGTGAGTAACTGTGGTATATAATGGGTATTTTTCAATTATTCTTGGTGGGGAGGTCTCATTGTAGCTCAAACCAGACTAGAATTTAGAAATCCTAACTTGGCTTTGAGATTTGAAATTTAAGATCCAGGCCAGGATTGTCACTTAGTGATAGATTATTTGCCTAATATGCACATAGGTTGTTAGCACATAATGGGCACAAACACCTAAGTGAGATTTTAAGCGGGTTAAAAAAAATGCATTAAAAAAAAAAAAAAACTTGGTTAAGAATGGAGTCAATCATGTAGGAGTTTGCCTTTAACAATCACAAACTTCAAGATACTCCTAACTAACCATGCTTTGTCATGGAACTGTACTTACTCCCAGTTTCACAATTTTCATTTAAAGTTTAGTATGCCTTTCTTTCTTTAAAAGCAGGAAGTGCTTTGCATTTAAAACAAATGCACTCCTTCCTCATGTGAGCCAAGTGGGACGACCACCTCTGTATGTAGCAAAGAATGACTCCACAATGCTGGAGCCTTTATAGAACTTTCAGTAGTTTATTTTAGTGGGTTAGGGAAAATTAAATTGTGTGCGTTTTTAAATAACTGGAATTTAAAAATAAAGTTAACTTTTATTTAGTTCTTCTCACCACTCAATCCAATACGAGTTCATATTGACATTGGAGCGGATGGCAGAGCAACAGGAGAGGCAGATGTAGAGTTTGTGACACATGAAGATGCAGTGGCTGCCATGTCTAAAGATAAAAACAACATGCGTAAGTGGTGTCTTTGGCATACTTCTGTTTTGTAGGTGTGTGCAGTTTATAAATCTCTGGTTAAAATGTCCCTTAGATCCTAGGTTTTAAAATCATTTGACCTATCAATATCTAGACTTTAATGGCTACCTGAGATAGTCCTATATTTATGCATGCACCTGCTTTAAATACTAGCTAATCAACCTTTAATACATTTTATCCCTTTCTCTATTCTTTTAAAGAACATCGATACATTGAACTCTTCTTGAATTCCACTCCTGGAGGTGGCTCTGGAATGGGAGGTTCTGGAATGGGAGGCTATGGCAGAGATGGAATGGGTATGTATAGTTTTGTATTTGAGGTGGGGACATCTTGCTATGTAGCCCAGGCTGGCCTGAGACTAACAACCCTTCTGCCTCGGTGCTTCAGCATATCCCTCCCAAACCTGGGTTTATAAACTTTTTAGGATAAACAGTGTCTGTTTGTTTTTTTTTTTTTTTTTTTTTTTAATGTGCAGATAATCAAGGAGGATATGGATCTGTTGGGAGAATGGGAATGGGGAACAACTACAGTGGAGGATATGGCACTCCTGATGGCTTGGGAGGTTATGGTAAGTCTGTATTAAGGCAATGTCTTTCTCTAAAAATATATTGTGATGTGCATCTCCTGATGGATGTTCTTAATGTCTTCTCAAGGTCGTGGAGGTGGAGGCGGTGGAGGTTACTATGGACAAGGTGGAATGAGTGGAGGTGGATGGCGTGGGATGTACTGAGACCACTTCCTCCAACATACAAGTCCTAACAACATCTGTCTACTAGACTTTCTTACAGATTGAATTTCTTTTGTATTTCAAGAACTTTATAATGACTGAAGGAATGTGTTTTCAAGATATTTGGTTAAAGTAACAGATTGTGATGGGAAAATCTGTTTTCTGTAGGTTTTATTTGTTGCATACTTTGACTTAAAATAAATTTTTATATTGAAACACTGATGTTGCTACTTTTTATATATAGGCACTCTTTAAAGATATGCTGCCTTCATAAGATTTTGGGATGATGTATTTACTGTTGGCTCTACAAAAAGTAGTGTAGTGCAAGACATTTGGAATAGAGCTTGAGTAGTTAGCAGCTAACTTTCCTGTACACACTGTAAATAAAAGGCCTAAAGCTGCATTCAGGTGGCTTCAGGAATTTCTGTGTTCTCATTGTGTTATGAATTATGAACCCAGGGGGTGGGGGTGGGTGGGAGTATCAGCCCTAGATTTTAAAATCCTCACATAGCATTTGACCAAGATACCAAAAAATGTTCCCAAAATTTGAGTTTGTTGGAGTAGCTAAGAGTATTTGATGAAGACAGAAAGAGCTTGGTGTGTAAATACACAGGTATTTACTGTGATAGATGTATTCTTGTGTTTTCACTTTCTCACCCAAGAAAACTTTTTTAATTGTGTAAAGACTACATTTAAGAAAATGAGTAACAATGCTGCAGCTGGATTTTGCATCTGATACTGGTGTTGAGTATTTAAGCTCTGTGTAGCAAGGAAAAGGTGCTTTCTAATGTTATCACTTTGATCAATGTTGCTTTTCCCCAAATTGGCTAATGGATCAAATTGAAACCTGTCAATGTGAACTCAATTATTGAACTTGTTACTTGTTTTTGCTAGAAATATTACTCATGTAATAAATGTCAACATGGGAGATAAAAGAATTGTCTGTCCTAGAATGCTTTGTGTTAGTTATTGGTTATAATACACATTGGTAGAAAGTAGGGTGGTACATGCCTTTAATCCCAGCACTCAGGGAGTGGGTAGGAAGGCAAGTACGGTTGGATGCCAGATAGAGATTTCTGATAAAGGAGTGCCCAGCTTGTTACTTAGGGCCTATCTGAAACAGTTGAGTTTCTGTCTGTCTAGTGTGGGACTGAGGGCTTTACGTAGAGCCTACACATTAGCTATTCTGTGTGGCTGACACAGACGTCAAAAGCATTTCAAGAGTTACCTTATGTTTCAAAAGAGGTTGCTAGAGAGATGATTCAGTGGTTAAGAACACTTGCTGCTCATAGAGAACCTGAGAGTTTGGTTCCCAGCACCCACATCAAGCAGCTCACAACTCACTGTAGCTCCAGTAAATCCAGTACCTTTTCCTGGTCTCCTGGGCCACCTGTACATACATGGCACATACAACAGATAAAATTGTTATTTCTCAAAAAATTGACATTTATTTTAAAAACATTACAGATTAGTATTACAATTCCTTGGCACTGTAATTACAATTTTGTGGTAGTACTGACTTTAAGGTAAGTAAGGGAATGTCCGTGGTTTTTGCAAAATAAAATGTATCCTAAATTTAGATTTTTATCATATTTCTTTGGGTGGTAGTGCTGTGGATTGAGAACCCAGGGCTTTAACACACACATAGTAAGCAAACATTTTACCACTGAGATGTCTCCTCATCCCAGACTGTGGGGATCAAGTTAATGCTGCCCCAGAAATGTGACAAAAAGCACATAAAAGTATTTGAAATTTTTTCATAAAATGTTAAGTCTATCCCGTCAAAATGGTTTTTGAAATGGTTTGAGAATATAATTCTTATATCCTAATTTTTGAGCCAGGTTTTCAGTGGAGATCTCTATATATAGCTGATCTGGAATTCTAGGGACAGACCAGGCTCACCTTGAACTTATGGCAGTCTTTCCTGCCTTAGCATCTAAGTACTCAACAAATGACATCTTGGCATGGGGCGGGGTTTCAGTTGGTAGAGTACCTGGCCAACCTACACAAAGCCAGGGCTTCCATCCCCAACACCACATAAAACAGCTGTAATCTCAGGAGGGTTTGGAGGTCAGACAACCAGTTCGAGGACATCCTCTGCTACACACCAAGTTAAAGGCCAACTTGGGTTACGTGAGTTGCTGTTTCCAAAAGGGGGCATCACAAAATCTGACATCTAATTTAAGTTGACCCCAGAAGCTGGTGAAAACTGGTTTTGTAATTTTGGCAATTTATAAAACTTACTGAAATATAACAAAAAGGTTCCAAAGAATCAGATCAGAAAAGTGCCCAATCACTAAACTGTCTTTAGGAATGTAAAATCTCTACAGAGTTTATAGATTTAAAAGTGCAAGACTTAAATTTAAGATCCTGAATGATCTTGGTTTCATTAATTTAATGTTTTATTTTTCTGCCTAAGGCTATAGCATAAGGTACTTGATACATAGAGTGAAATTCTACTGTAGATAGGTGTAAACACTGCAATATAATGTTTCCTAGAAGTTTCTTAGAATTGGGGGATGGAGAAAATTATATCCTAGCATAGGCAGAATTTTAAATGCTCTTAATTTTACTTAGAATCGTTAAAAGCCTGTGATCTCCCTCCATCCCTCTCAGAAAGGTTGTTTGTTGTCTCTGGGGTCCAACCCTTTACAAAAATGAGCTTTTGTGACAAGGATGGTGGTTATATTTAACATTCCTTAAGTGTAGAGCAAAGCTGGTCCTTTAATTCACTATATGAAAGGAGAGGTGGGTATGGGATAAAATTATTGGCCTTTTCCACTGTAGAAAGGGAGAAACAAACACAGTTAAATTAGAATCTTACCAGACAATGAAGACTATACAGGCCTGGTGTGGCGGCAATACCTATGATCCTAGACTGAGGCAAGGAAATCTATGAGTTCATGGTCAGAAAAGGATGTTCTGTTAACATATTATCACATCATGAGTAGATTTCCAGTCTTCCTCTGAGAATTGTGAATCTTTAAAGTGCATTAAGAGAATTACAGGCACCACCAAGTGCCAACTTGACAGTTCAGAACAAACAAGCTGTGGCCTTGTTCTCAAGAAGGCCTCTAGAAGTTAAGGCAGAAGTGCATTGTTAGCTCTGCTATTCAGCCTTCCTTAAGGGTTCAATGATTGTTCCAAGCAGTCACAAAACATGCTATCTTAAAGTCTGAGTAAGAGCAGAAACTCAATACTAACTGTACAACGTAGACTCCTGTGTGTTAGCTGGAGGAGAGAGGAACAGTGCCGACTGCTCTGCACTCGTCCTCACACTCACTGCAGGTGCTTCTGTGCAGGAGGATTGAGTTCCCATGTCATGGCACATTAGAGGAGCATCTCTGAATGAGCATTGCATGACAGGAATCACAGACTCGCACTGGCTTTGGTGAAGATGGCAAAGGCAGTTCATTGTCAGAGCACGCATTACAGAAAATTTCCCCACAGTTCCTACAGTGGTGCTATTAAATGGGAAAACAAGGAAGGAAAAACTGAATTAGAAGCCATTTTTGTTGCCAAAATGTTTGGACTCACTTTCACCCCCTTACCTTTCTTTTGGAGAGTGAAAATTCCTTCTCGCAAAGCTTACAGTGTGTTGCCTCTTTGTCTTTTAGCCAGACCAGTCCCTAATAGGAAAAGATGATTGTTAGTGTTCAAATCAGTCAGTAACACTTGCACTTAGCTTAAAAGCATGAAAACAAAAAAGGCAGAATTTCTATGATTCATCATTTTTCCGGGAGCCACTTCTATTCAAAATTAAGGAACCCAAGAAAGAAGGCATTCAGGCAATCTCAGAGGAAGGTCAAAGGAACTTAATGTCAAGACCAGGCCAGATAGGTGTTGGGGGCCCAGACTCAAAGTAATGGACCACCTAACATCAAGTGACATTTGTTATAGGTGCTATGTTGTTACTGTCATAGAAAAGTGAAATATTCTGGTGTTGGAATAAAACACCAGAAAATAAATGAAGTGACAGGTGGTTGACACCAGGAGAAATAAGATACGGTGATGACTGCCTTTAATACCAACACTCAAGAGGCCCCAAGTTTAAGGCCAATCAGGGTTACAGTGAGAATCCTGTCTAGGAAAAAAGTTTACTGAGGGTATGTAAGGAAAAGATGAGTTTGAGTGATCAAACAGGTCCCCCCACCATGTCCATAGCAAGGTGAGAAAACTAGCAGCAGGGGGAACAGTGTGTGCCTAGCATGTTGCTAGGCCCCTTTCATTCCCAGTACTACAAAAAGGGAAAGCAGTGTGACTTGCACGTTGCTTTGAATACAGAGCTACATGCCAAAGGAAACAGCTGTTAGAGCTGGAAGCAGCACCCATTTGGAGCAGTAGGTTAAAGGCAAGAGAGCAAGCAATCTTTGCAGTTTGAAATCTTTTTAGAATGTGGGCTGGAGTAATGGCTCAGTAATTAGAGTGCTGTTCTTGCAGAGGACCCAAGTTCAATTCCCAGCATCCACATGGCTCACAATCCTCTGTAACCCCAGTACCACCTAGTCTATGTTTTTTTTTTTGTTTTTGTTTTTTTTTTTTTTTTTTGGTGGTTGTTCAGAGTGCTGGCTGGCATTAACAGCAATTACATAAGCTAGGTTCCATGACTTTTAAAATAACTTTTCATGTAACATTTTGATTAAAAACTTCTCCACTCACTGATGCTTAAGTGCTGACCCAATAATCCCATGTCATAGGAGGATTCTCTCAGACACACACATTCTAGCCCTGTCAAAGCAACCTTGTGTTCATCAGAAGCCTATTCTAGAAGAGTAAATTAAGGGTCATGCAGGATGTGTTCTCTACTAACGTAGCATTTTTCATCGAGATCATTAATACATCCTTTAGCAGGTAATCCATTTCCACCTTTTAAAACATTTCAGCAAGGATGGTGGTGCACGCCTTTAATCCCAGCCACACACCACCCCCCAAGAGGCAGAGGTAGGCAAATCTGAGTTCCAGGACAGCCAGGGCTACATAAGAGAAACCCTGTCTTGAAAAAGAAAATACAAAAAAACCTGGAAATGGGAATAGTTAACACAATAGAACACCAACACCACCCACACTCTGTGCTTCGTATGCACCCTTCTGGTCCTGGGACCAAACCAAGGCCTTCTCAATACCCAGTCTCCAAATAATTCAAGTTTACCGACTTAAGAGCTTTCAGCTGTACCAACACCTTTTTACTCACCTGTAATGCTTTGTTGGCTTCTTTTATGTCATCTATTTTAAGTTTGGATCTAAAAGCATTACAAACAGGTCCAAATTTTAGTATGAATATAAATACAGTACACCTAACATTTCATTGGAAAGGCGTTGATTTTTTTCATTGCATATAATTTTAGATCCTAACAATCTAGCTAAGAGGATATTGTATTTTTCTGCTTTTTGTTTTTTGTTTTTTTCTAAATGTCCTAAAACAAAAATCAGCCCCTATTTCTTTGTTTTTTAAAGGCATGATCTCAAAGCTGGCCCCTCTCTATGTAGCTGACAATGACCTTGAATTCCTGATCTTCCTGCCTTTCTCTCCCAAGTGCTGATATCACATCCACTTTCCTGGCTTCCTATAGAATCTCAGTAACATTTTACCACAAGATCACATGAGTCATGCTAAGAATTGATCTCTGAAGGCATGAAAACTACTTTTAAATCATCATAATAAGACTGGCTCAGTCTCAAAACAGGCTGACATCTCTGGACATTTTTAAAATTCAACTTTTATTCTGCCAAAACTAAACTTCAGGGTTCTTTTACTGCTTTTGTTTCCACCCCCACTCCCCAGAAGGGTTTCTCTGTGGTGTTCTGGAACTCTTCTGTAGACCAGGCTAGCCTTGAACTCAGATCTGTGTCTGCCTCTGTCTCCTGAGTGTTGGCATTAAAGCATTCGCCACCACCACACAGCTGCTTCTAGATATTTTTTTTTTAAATCACTGAAGGATTAAACAAAAGTCTTTGCCTTCACTTGCTGGAAGCCTTCAGAGCCAAGATCTAAAATACATAACTACTCAATCCCTTTAAAGAATCTAGTCTTTTTAGTGTTCCCAAACTCAAGCCCCTCTGCATAACTTGGGGTACACTCATTGCATGGTATACTCATGTCTTCCACAAATTTATGGGCATGTAGCTGAAGGAAAAAAGAGGAATTACTCGCAAAGTTTGCTGCCAAGTTCTTGCAGAGCCTGCTCTTGTTCATGATATATTTTTTTCAACTGCTGATTTTCATCCTGGAGGTTAAGAAACTCCTTCAATAAAAAACAGAAATATAATTTTAAAAAAACCAAGAAACACCATATTGCATATACATCATTAATTAGGAAAGTATAAACATCTTTGAACTTTGTTCTCAGGAGGCTGAGGCATGACCTTGTCCTAATCATCCTTCCATTTCCCAAGTGCTGGGGTTACAGGAATGATTCTGTGAAGCTTTGAATTCTCAGGCATTCCCCCACCCACAATTTCTCTCTTTAAAAGAATTTATGTGTGTGTACCATGTACATGCCTGATGCCCAGAGGTCCAAAGAGGGCTTCAGATGCCCTGTAGCTGGAGTTCAGAGACGGTTGTGAGCCACCATGTGAATTCTGGGATTGTTGCTCAATCTGACCATTATGAAGCTAGGCTAAGCCTCAACCTCCTGATCCTCCTGCCTCAGCCTACTCAGTGATGGAATTACAGGTGCACACCACAACCAACTTAATCTTTTCATAAGAAGCAATGTATCTGAAACCTTTTCCTAGCTGCTCTATGTATCAACTATTACCCACACAACCTTCCTCATATTCCTAAAATGACTAAGGATATTCTCATTTAAATGTAAATCATGTAAAGAGTTTTGTTTTAAAAGATGCATGTGTGCTTGTATGCAGGTGCATGTGCAGGTTGGGAGACAACCCTGGTGGTTGTTCTTAGGACTGCCTACCATCTCTTTTGAGACAGAGTCTTTCATTAACCTGTAGCTCATGAATTAGGCTAGAATGGCAGCCAGTGAGTCCCAGGGATGCCTTGCAGAGCTGAGACTACATACAAATCCTGTGAGCTCTTTACTGACAGCCATCCCCTCCTCCCAAATCATTTGCATAAACTCACAGGCTGGAAATAGTGGCTCATGCCTTAATCCCAGCACTCCAGAGGCTGAGACAGAATGGCCAGCTTTTGCTACATAACAGAGTTCAGAGAACGTCTGGGCTATAGTAAGAAATCCCATCTCCAACAACAAGATATAAAATTTAAAAGTGTTACTACTATTTACTTTTTTAAGACTAATGATTTGCTGGGTCTCATTTCTAAGATGAGATAGGACATCTTTCTCCTTTTGAAGATCTTCTTGCAAAGTTTGTCTCCATTCTTTCTCAATCTTCAAATCTGTTTCCAGCTGTACCCTTGAATGGCAAACACAGAAAGCAGCTGAGTGTTCAGTTGGTCAGTTCTCAGAGAGGGGCTCATGCAGCCAGTAATGCTCCTGCCTCCGCCTAACCATCAGGGTTAGGTATGTTCTACCATACCTGCTCTCTTATTTTCACTGACTTCTTTAAAGGCTTACTTTGTAATTACAGGTGTTTGTGAGCCATCACTTGAGTGCTGAACAACCTCTGCAAGAAGAGTACATGCTCTTAGCCACTGAGCCATCTCTCCAGTCCCCTTTATTTTATTTATTTTTATTTTTTCAGACAGGGTCTCATATATCCCAGGCTAGCCATGAAGTTGCCATGTAGCCAAAAATGACCTTTAATTTCTGATCCTTCTGTCTTCACCTATATAACCAGTGTGGGCTTTGTAGCAAGATCCTATTTCAAAAAAAGTTTCCAGATAGTCTGTCAAATATGATCCTATTATAAAAATAAAATTAGGGGCTGGAGAGATGGCTCAGCAGTTAAGAGCACTGGCTGTCCTCCAAGAGGACCTGGGTTCAACCAACTCCTACAAGCTGGCCTTTGACCTCCACATACATACTCTGTACATGCATGCTAATATACTAAATAAGTAAATGTAATTTTAAATTTTACAATAAAATTAAAACCATGTATTACTTGTGTATTTTTATGTACAAAGAAAAGTTTTGTTTTGTCCTTATTTTGTGATGCTGAGGACTGCATGTAGGGCTTCATGCAAACTAAAAACACATATTCTACCAATGACTTATACTGAAGCCCACAACAGTTATACCAGAGCAGTTTCAAGTCACTGGGAGGGGTTTCAGTCTTTACTATACAAATATCATTAATGTTCTTCCCCAGGACCCATGCACTACTTTTGTTATTAAAAGAAAGTGGCCTGGAGAAATGGCTCAGCAGTTAAGAGACACACAACAGTGTACTTAAAAACTTGAAAAAATTTAAATCTTAAACAACAGGAGCTGAGGATGCAGCTCAGTGGATGGAATGCTTGTATAACATAAACAAACCCTGGTTTTTGATCCCCAGCATCACATAAACCAGGTATGGAAGGCTTACCTAAAACCCCAGTATTGCAAGGCAGAAGCAGGGTCAAAGTCACCCTTGCTTATGGAAGGAATTATGTAGGCCAGCCTGGAATACATGAGACATCATCTCCAAAATAGATAATAGGTGTATGTATATGTGTGGTTTTGGAGTTTGAACTAGGGCCTCAATAATGCTAGCAAAGTACTCTCCCACTGAACTGCATCCCTACCCAAATTTTTTTCTTTTTCTAAAAATTGTATTTCTTTATGTAGTGTGAGGATCTAGGACATGTGCAGGACTACCAGGTGGGTCCTGGAGCCTGAGCTGAGGCTTGGTGGTAACTGCCTTAACCTACTGAGCCATCACAGACGTCCCCCACACACCTTCTTTGAGGGCCATACTAGCTGGTAGAGACCATGTTAGTACAAGAACTTGGTTCCAAAACCAAACACTCACAGCTGCTGCTCCTTCTGCGAGATCTGTCTCTGCAGACTGTCGGATTTGCTCAGACACTCTTGGGCACATTTCTCACCCTCGTCTTCAGCTTCCATTTGTGCCTTCTCTGTTTGCTGCAATCTGGTGTAATTCAAATCAACTTTGGGTAAAACTGAGGCTAGAACTAGGGTGTAAAAGGGTGAAGAAGACAAATAAAAGAAAAATGGGGAAATAGAAACATTCCTAAATGAAAACAAAGTCTGGGGGAGAACTCACAAACTCAAACGTGAAAAGCCACACAATGTCTAGAAATTGTTTAGTGATTGTTTTTCAATATAAGATATAATATGCCCAGAAAACTATCTTCAAATTTGCTTTATTTCTTGTTCATAATTAATGCAAAGCATACAGTTTTTAACCATTGGAGGATAATGACTCAAATCTCAAATATGGCTAGATATCTTATTGCCTTTTCACAAAGCCATGAATAACACTCAGGTCTTTACTAAGTGCAGAACACACCTGTCATGTAATGCTAAGATGTGTGTGCTGGGAACCAAGTGTGCTACAGGGCTCAGCAAAGGGCAACAATTACCCTCAGGAACAGAGTCTTCCAAGCAGAGCTCTACACAAAGCTGTATATGTATGTGTGCATGTATAGATATTAAAATTCAAAAGATTCAATGCTTGTTGGCATCATTCTCTATGAATAATCTTTAAGGACTTTTATTGTACGTTTATGAATGTTTTGCTTGCATGTATGTATGTGCACAACATACATACATGGGGGGGCACTGAGGTCAGAAGAGGGTGTCAGGTTCCCTGGAACTGGAGTTATAGACAGTGTGAGCCACATTGCGGAGGTGCTGGGAATTGAACACGGGTCCTCTGTAAGAACATGTGCTCTTAACTGCTGCCACATCTCTCCAGCCCCCTAACTTTTGTTCTTTACCTTGAATATTAAAGATGAGCTTAAAATATTATATATGGCCACTTTTTCCTGTTTTTATTTGTTAAGTCACTGTTTCTAGACTTAGCTCCACTCCTTGCCTCTCTTGGCCATCAAAATCCTGAGGTTTATAAGAAAATATTTCCCAGGATTCAATGGACATTAAGTTTTCACAAGAAGTCACAAGAGAAATCTTGTGTCCTTTTATCTGCCTCAAAAACTTCCTAAGTAAGGCAACACACATAGTGAGTAAAAAGTCTCCAAGGAGAGGAAAGAAGTTATCTCTAGGTTTACATTGGAGTTAAAGGGTTAAGGCGGTAGGGGTGGACTCAGCTTTCTTCTCTAGAGTTAAAGGAAGTAAAGTAAGTGAGGTAGGCCTTGCAATTGTGCTATCACAAAAGAGGGCTGGGAGATGGGGGTAGGGGGGAGTGGCAACTAGAAAACTGAGTGCTGAAGCCCAGGGCAATGGCCAACCTGGTTTGGAAACTAAACTTTAAAAATCAGTAAGGAGCCATTAGGCAGAGTGTGCAAATGGGGTAGGGTGTGTGTGTGTGTGTGTGTGTGTGTGTGTAAGAGAGAGAGAGAGAGAGAGAGAGAGAGAGAGAGAGAGAGAGCTTATCTGTGCCAACACAGCCTGAAACCAAAGGCTTCTAGCTTCCATCAAAAGGTAGCTAAAAAGATAAAACCATGTGAAAATCTTGCCCTCCAAGCAGTTGAGGCTCAAGTACACAAGGCTGAGGAGTGCATCTGGGGAGCCTAGTGCACCTGCTGTGTCTCCCAGCAGCCTTGAAGGGCTCCTACAGCCCTGTACAGGAGACAGCATAAATTCTTTTCCATTTGACATCTGGTAAAAGGGTGGGCTCTGCGCTTTGAGTGAGTTTCAGAAGGAGATGTCTTTGACCAGCTTGTACTGGTCCTGGGGGTCACTGCCAGCACTTTTCACCAATGACACTGCAATTGTCCTAGTCTGAGTTAACAAATCATTGTCACTTCATAATGGAATGGACAGAAATCAAAGACAAGAAACGGTAATAAAGATGTCCAAAATGTAAAAGTGGGGATAAAGGAAACAACAAAAACAAAGAAGAAAAAAGAAGAAAGAGGGTGTCAATAAAAGAATATTTGTGTCAGTAAAGCATCAACAGTTATGTTTTCCCTAAGTAGACTCAAAGAAAGCAATGGTGACACATGTTGACTCAACATGACAGGGCAATGGGTACATTACATTTTCAACAGTAAAATGAAAATGCCAGGGTAAAAGAGCTCCATTGACATAAAATCCGGCCCTGGATTAGGCTGAGGGTCCTAGCTCAGAAAGTAACTACACTGTCAACTCATGCTGTTGTCAGATAGGAGATGGCCAATGGTGAAGAATGGGACAGTCCCACCAGAGTCTGTCCATTTCTGTTTTCCAGGTCTTTGTGTTTAGTTTTATGTCACAGATATTGTGCCAAGAAAGCAACTTCAAAGGAATCATCACCCTAATAAAGCAACTTGACTCCATGCAGCAAAGAAAGGACAAAATCTGGCTTAGCTTAGATAAGACACAGGCCCTAGGCAAGCTCTCCTAACAGCGTCTATGGCAGGTGTCAGAGGTGGAGAACGGAGAGGGAATGGGAACTCCTGAGTATCGTACCTTTGCTCCAGCTGCCTCATGGCCGTAGTGATTTTATTGGTCTTTTCTTCTAGTCGGGCAATTATTTCATTTTTTTCTTTCAAGCTGTCTTCAGAGCCCTATTTATAAAAACACAACAGCTATGGTGGTTTTGATTTTGAAACTCAAACACCAGGCCAAGTGTAGTGGTATATGCCTAGAAATCCTAGCACTCGGTAGGTAGGTAGGATTACGGGTTCAATGCTAGCCTCACTACATGGGGACACTGAGGCCAGCCTGAGCAGTCAATCCTTCTCCAAAACCACCAAAAAGTAAGAATAAGATACAGGATTCACCAGAGAAGAGCTCAGTGAGAAGATATACCGACCTGGCCAGTGGAGGTCCACCTCTGAGGCCCACATGGTGGGAGAGCATATTCCCATATATGCCAACACACACACATAGCACACACACATAAAACAGTAATGTCCTTCAAAATTACAACCAAGAAAACTTGACCATATTTCCATGTTATTGAAAAATAAAACAGGCTAGGCATGGTGGCATACACCTTTAATCCCAGCAGGAGGCAGAGACAGGCAGATCTCTGGGAGTTCAAGGCCAGCTTAATCTTTATAACAAGTTCCAGGATAGCCAGGGGCTACATAGTAATAATAATAAAAGGGCATAAAGATTTACATTTAAAAATATTTAAGTTGAATGAGGTAGGGGCAGGCAGATATCTGTGAATTCAAGGCCAGCCAGGACTACCTAGAGAGCCCTTGTCTCAAAACAAAACATTTGAGAGGAGTGGGCTGTGGTGGCACACTCTTTTAATCCCAGCATTTAGGAGGCAGGTGGATCTCTGTGAGTTCAAGGCCAGTCTGGTCTACAGAGCGAGTTCCAAGACAGCCAGGGCTACACAGAGAAACCCTGTCTCAGGAAAAGAGAAGAATGAAATCAGGGTGGAAGTGGCTCAGTGGTACCGAATTTGTCCAGCATGCAGGAAGATGGGGCTGGGTTCCTAGCAATGCCAACAATGGAAGACCATCCTGTACCTGCAGCTTTTGGTACATCTCAATGTTGATTGCTTTGACTTCTTCCAGCTGTTGCCGAAGGCCTATGAGAGTGTCTTGTTTCTCATGAATGTCTTTCTCCAACAACTTCATAGCAAGCTCAATCTCATGCTTCATGCCAACTTGTACTGACAGCTCATTCTCCACATCCTGCAATTTCACAATGTCTTCATCAACAGGTTATTTCAGGTTATTAAAATCAGATGTGCAGCTGTCAACAAGATGAGGAACAACATCCTACTCATCTGCTCCTCTTAAGTCTGCCTGGTGGGTGGTTCATGGGTAGTCCCAGCACTGAAGAGGATGGGACAGGAGGACTGCTTTGAATTCAAACCCAGCCTGAGCTACACGATTCTATTAAAAAAAAAAAAAAAAAAAAAAAAAAAAAAAAGGTCTGGGTATGCTGGTGCCCACCTTTGATCTCAGCTCCTCAGGAGGCAGAGGCCAGGCAAGCCAAAGCTATATTAGTGAGTAGTGAGATCTTGTCTGTCCTAGTTTGCTTTCTGTTGCTGTGATAAAACACTAAACAAAAGCAACTTGGGAGGAAAAAAGGTTTACAGTCCATCACAAGCCAAGACAGGAACATGGAGGCAGAGACCATACAGCCTGGTCCTGACCCCCAACAGATCATTACAAGACATATTTACTCTATGATTCATAACAGTAACAAATTACTGTTATTAAATAGCAACTAAAATAACTTTATGATGGAGGGGTCACTACAACATTAGGAAGTGTATTGAAGAGTCACAGCATTAGCAAGGTGGGAACCTCGGCCATGGAGGAGTAGTGCTTACTGGCTTGCTCTCCATGGCTTGCTTAGACGGCTTTATTTAATCAGCCTAGGATCACCTGCCTGGAACAGCACGCCCACACTGGGTTAGGCCCTCACTCAATCATTGATGAAGAAAATGCCCCACAGACTTGTTTACATGCCAATCAGATGGAGGTATTTTTTCAACTGCGGTTCTCTTTCATGTGCCTCTAGTCTGGGTCAAGTTAACAAGAACTAAGCAGCATACTATCTCAAAAAACTCCAAAAAACCTTGATTCAGACTTTTGCTAATGTTAAAGACAGGAAGACTGCAGTGAAAGGCGGGCCATATCCTCCTCTTGGCCTGGGCATTACGACTCATCAAGCTACATGTGTGCCAATATCTGAAAGCTCAAATTTTAAATATGATGTTGCTAATATTTATATATTTCACTATGTCCTCCTAGGTATTGTTTCTGTGATGGTGGTCTGCATTCACACAACCATAAGTTGGAAGGTTTTAAAAAGACTAAGATGTGTTTTCATTAAAATAAGAACACTGGCCTGCACTGCACCATGGCTCTGTGGGCATCAGTTAACGTTATGACACAGCTTATATCACGTGTGGGTGTGTCTTGGGGGGGCTGTTCCTGATAACTGATACCTATATAGGAGGTCTCATCCCATTGAGGGTAGTCAGTTCCTGGGCTACATAAGGCTAGCTGAGCATAAGCCTAAGTGAGCAGGAAAGGTTCAGACTCCTCCTTTCTGGTCCTGCCCTGACTTCCCCCAATGAAGGACTGTGATTAACCCTTTCCTCCCTGTGTAGATTTCAGTGCTTTATCACAGCAACAGAGAAGACTAGAACAGTGGACAAAGGTGTGTCAGCAGGCCTGATGGCCTAAGCTCAATCCCTATGCCAGAACCACATAGGAGGAGAGACCTGGCTCTCGAGAGTTATCCCTCTGACCTCCACACGTATGCCATGACCTATGTGCACACATACAAAATAAATACAAAAACAGACAAAGGGAGACTGGAGAGATGGCTCAGGCCTCTTCCAAAGGTCCTGAGTTCAATTCCCAGCAACCATGTGGTGGCTCACAACCATCTGTAATGAAATCTGGTGCCCTCTTCTGGCCTGCAGGCACATATACAGACAGAACAATGTATACATAATAAATAAATAAATATTGAAAAACAAAAAGTTGGTGTATGAAGGGTGTAAGGTTCTGCTCCATGTCCGAGAAGCTAAGGCTGATATACAGAATGGTGCTGCTTGAGAGTAAGTTATCTCCAGGATGTTGGTAATGTAACTGCAAGGTCAACTACCTGTCGTAGCTGTGACTCATCTCGAAGCTGCTTCCTGGCATCATTATACATTTCATCTAGACCTTGCCGAGAATGCTTGTATGTTTGCAGCTCAGTTTCCACATCCACTTTGGTAACCTAGGAAGAAGAGGTCATGCCATCACACCATGCTCTGCCATCACACACACCTGGCCTACATGATTACGGACACCAGCAGGCTCTGCTGGTACTACTCACCTCCAGGTGCTGCCGAGTTCTCATTAAGATCAATTCGTTTTCACTGCGTAACTGATGGTTTTCTTCTTGGAGCTTAATGATATTATTCTTTGCTATTGCTAACTGCAAATTGTGAAACAGAAACAAAAAGCCACTCTGAGCATCTTTCTATAGACTTGCTATACAGTTTAGGTCTGTGGCTACAAACTGGAGGGAAAAAAAAACCCTGAAAACAGTAAGATGAGTCCCTGGTTTGGAAATAAATTGGGACAATTTAAAAGGTGGTTTTTGATTGTCATGGAAAATGAGGGGCACAGTGGTAATAACAGGCTTCTATCTAGCATCTAGAAAATAGGGTTAATACACTTAAGAAAAAAGTCAAATGTGATGGTACACACTTTAAATCCTAGAACTTGGAGGCAGAGACAAATGGATCTCTATGAACTACAGGCCAGCCTCGTCAACATAGTGGGCCCCTATCTCAAATACTCTTAACTACTGAGCCAATTCCTCAAGCCCAGGTTTTTAATTTATTTTTAAGATGAACTTGCTTTTCTGCAAAGGGGCACCCAATGGCCACATTTACATTGTGGGAAGCCATGACTGGTAGGTTGTACACAGAAGGTGGGGGACATGTGACAGTTATGCAATGTTGCTGCTTGTGACTAGAGGTCATTCCATGACCTACACATAGGTGAACCTCACTGTAATGGGAATCACACTTTATGGATTTAGGAATCCATGTGACTTTTTTCTCTGGTGCTCAATTCTAGTTACTGACTATAATAAATAACACTACCTCAGAGTCCTGCAATTAGGAACTCAAGGTGTATGTGGGTTCTCTAGAACTTATAGCCTTAGACTGCAAATGTCCCCCCACAATGAAAAGTGTGTGTGTTGGGGGGTGGATACTGACAGCATTCTCACTTAAAATAGAAAAGAATAACGAACAGTAGGATACTCAAAGACAATCATACTGTTGGGGACAGTACCTCTTCAATCAGCTTAGTGTTTGACTTTTCTAGTGAGTCAACTCTTGAATGGAGGCTGCTGACTGTGCTGCTGCAATCGGCAAAAAATAAAACAAAACTCATTGAGAATCACACAAGCTCACACAGGCAAGGACAATGTGACTGTCCCAGACTTGGGTTTATTGACCCAGAATAAATTTCTAGAGGGGGACAACTTTGTTAACCTGCCTGACTTGATCTGAGCTAAGACAGCAGTAAGGACCACAGCAAAAGAATCAACATTTCTCTATAAAGTACTCTGATACCCATTGGATGCCAGCATTGACTGAGGCCAGGACCCAGTGCAGGTGAGGCGAAGGTTCTACTGTGGAGATATGTTGGCCTCAAACTGACTTACTGGGGGAACCTGGGGCTCATGACCCTCCTACCACTACGTCCCAAGTGCTGGAGTTATTACAGGTGTGTGATACACCAAGCTCTCTGTATACTATTAATTTCTGTTGTGCATCTAACCTGCCCCTCGAGTCCTCTCAAAAATGCCTAGGAGGCAAACATGCAAAGATGCTATGTAGAAAGAAATAAGGATTAAGATGAAAACAAAGTTGCCCCTAAAATGAGGCTCTTTAATATAGTTAGGTACTCGATACTTACTTTAGTTGTCTATTTAATTCTTCAACGTAATTCTTTTGGTCTAAGATGGCAGCAATTTGAACATTCCTGTGGTGGGAGGAAAGAGTAGTTTGAAATATATCTAAATCATCTGGAAACGGTTATGAAAATCACAGTGATAAAATATGGCTTTGCTTTTAAAACAGGCTGTCACACAGCTGTAAATTAGGCATCAGGGACTCTGCTGACTGAGTTACTCGCTAATGTATCATTAATATACTTGAAATAGACCCAGTTAGATAATAAATCACCACTGGCACAAATATAGTTATTAAGGTGTCTCTCAACAAGGACAGGTATTACCCAAGACTCCTACTGTGAACCAAAGTTGACCCCATCTAAAGGACTTTCTATGTCTGCCCTGTAGAGCTTTAAAAAGAAGTAAAAATGCAAGCCAGAGCTCTAGGTAGGAACAGAAACCGCACAGTGAACAGACAGCATAAGTTCTTTTGCAAATCGTTATGTAAAAACTACAACCCTTAACTGGGGGTGGGGGTAGCTCAAGCCTTTAATCTCAGCACTTGGAAGGCAGAGGCAGGTGGATCTCTGTGAATTCGAGGCCTGCCTGGTCTGCAGAGTGAGTTCCAGGATATCCAGGACTGTCTGGAACCTTGTCTGGAAAAAAACAAAAACCAAACAAACAAACAAAAGAATTCCTAAAACTGGGAAATAAGGAGGAAAGTATACCTTTCTTTGTTTCCAATCTCTTCTTCATTCTTTAAATACATTGAGAAATCAATCACTCCAACCTGAAATTAATAAACAGATTTTTATTTAAAGAGAAGAAATCCTCCTCAGCAAGTCTGGTGTGAATGCAGTCTTCTGATTTTTCACTGGCATGAGAGATGACTGACTGACTGGTCAGGGAAGCTTGCTGTGGGCATGTCTAGGAAGGCCCTTCCAGTGATGTTTACATCCTGACAGCTCTGAGCAAAGGCAATGGTTTATCCCTTATTCAAATTTGAACCCTGAAGACTACAAGGAAGCATCAGATCCCACTAGAGATGCTTGTGAGCCACCATGTGGCTGCTGGGAATTGAACTCAGGACCTCTGAAGAGCAGCCAGTGTTCTTAATCACTGAGCCATCTCTCCAGCCCACTTAAGCTGTTTCTATCATATGCTTGTCTAACACAACTAACAGCACTGTGTAACTTAGAGCCTCTCAGATCCAGGGAGAACTGTGTGTATTGAGAACACCTATTTGTATTACCTGTGTTCACTCACCTGGGAGTCCAGGTCCTCTCCCTTCACACACAGATTGGCATCAATCACATTCAGGCCGACCAGTAGCCCAACAATCACGGCTCCCTCCTCCTCCATCATTAGTGCATGGTACTCATAGAACTCGCTGGGAACATCAGAACAGAGAGTTATCACAAACCCAACGCTGAACTGGAACACCTCATGTCCCCATCCTGTAGACATAGAAATAACCTAAGCTCCTCTAACCTGTATTCTGAACTGAATGCTTGTGAAAAGGCTTGATGTCTCCATAAAAAATTAGCAGGACTGAAGGAGATAGAAGAGAAAGACCTTGTGAGGGGAAAACAAAGACAAAAAAAGAAAAAAGAAAAAGGGGGTAATGCATAAGTTTTCATAGTTTATGCCAGGAATGCCCAGTACTCAGGAGGCTGAGATGGGGATTGCTGAGTTCAAAGCCAGCGTGATTCACAAAGTAAGTTCCAGGCCAGTCTCAGTATAAAATTAAGACCATGGATTTTTTTTAAAAAATTATCATTTTATTATTTTCTATGTGTGAGTGTTTTGCCTGCATGTATCTATGTGTGCCACATGCATACAGAGCTCACAGAGGCTGAAAGAAGACATCAGAGCCCCTGAAACTGGACGCAGACAATGTGAGCTGCGATTGTGGATGTTGGGACCTGAGCCCAGGTGTTCTAGAAGAGCAAGCCAGTGCTCATAACTGCTGAGTCATCCCTCAGCTGTGGACCATTGTCTCAGAGAGTGGGAGAGAAAGGGGCAACCTTGAGGCTTGGAATGCTAGATTCTCAGGACTCAGTAACTGCCACTAATCTGATTACGATACTTGTAATTAGAGCAGAAATTTCAGTCCCAAAATTCATCAAGACCTTTGGAATAGCTGGCTGTGGCAGCACACCTTTACTCCCAGCACTTGGTAGGCAGAGCCAGCTGGATCTCATAAGTTAGAGGACAGTCTTAACTACATAGCAATACCCTGTCCTACACAAAGAACAGACTTATTTTATGTATTTGAGCATTTTGCTTGCATGTATGTATGTGTACCATGTGTGCCTGGTACCCTCAAAGGCCAGAAGAACACTGGGTCCCCCAGAATTTGGATGCTTGTGAGCTGCCATGTGTGTACTAGAGACAGAACCCTGGTTCTCTGCAAGAGCAACAAGTGCTGTTAGCCACTGAGCCATTTCTCTGGTCCACTAAGTATTCTTAATGGGTAGGTAATCATCAATTAAGAACATGTGGATAACTACAGTCCACAGGTATGGTGTTCACACCTGTAATCCTAGTACTGGAAAGGTAGAGGCAGAAGGATCAAGAACTCAGGGTCATCCTTAGTCAGACAGCAAGTTCAAGATCAGCCCGGGCTATATGAGACCCTGCTGAGATAGAGAGAGAGAGAGAGAGAGAGAGAGAGAGAGAGAGAGAGAGAGAGAGAGGGAGAGGGAGAGAGAGGGAAAGAGAGAATTGCAAATAGTCTAAAAATGAAGTTACCAGTTTTTATAATCAGGAAAAGCTCTAGCGGCATCAAGTCACATGTGTAGCAATAACAGCTTTAACTGGTCCTCAGAATATTGCTGACAAATTCCATAGCTTCAACTATGGCCATCGTCATTTAACAAATGCAAAAACTGAGATGTGAAGCCAGAGTCACAAATAAAACTGAACACAGCATGGTATTCCCAGAACACCAGAGAGGTTGCCAGTTGCCATGACAAGGGCCACCCTGATTGCCCTGTCACCATCTGATCTTCAATTAAACAATGCTCATGATGCAGCTGAGGTGCTCATTCCAACATTAAAGATCATAAGAAGAGAAGTGCAACTCTAACCCTAGGACAAATACCCCTAGCTTTCTCACTTTGCTCTTCTTTTATTTTGTGGTATTTCATAGATCTTTCTTCACTTCTTTTTGGATAACAAGATACAAATAAAATTAAAAAGTACCAACCTCAGGAGCTCCCTCTGGATAATTAAGCAACGAAGGTAATCGGCCATTTTTTTTTGCATGAGGGCTAATCGGAGCCACGCCCTAGCACGACCCAGGGGAGTCCTAGAAAGAACCAAGGGGTTAGAAAGCAGCCTCAGTGCTAAAATCATAGCCACGTGCTCCACATCTGCAGGACACACTGCCAGAGAAAAAGGTATTTTATCGTGCTTTGTTCTCATCTTTATAACCTGATGCTGATGTGTGTGGGTGTGCAAGGTGCCTTGCTCTTTCTACCCAGAGGGTGCACGTGGGAACCAAAGACTGGCCTTGGGGTGTCTGTCATCTATGACTTCTCCACTTTATTTCTTTGGACACAGTCTCTCATGGAACCTAAATTGTGCTGCCCAGTGGGGGTCTCTGGGCTTTGTCCTCACCATGGCACTTAGTTTTTACATGGGTTCTAAAGATACAAACTCAGGTTATCATGCCTGTGCAGTTAAGCCCTTTACCCACTGAGCAATCTCCTTGGTCCTTATACTAGTTGCTAATTTTATTTCATGCGTATGGGCACTGTGTATGCATCTATATGCAAACAGTGCCTGCAGAGACCAAGAAAGGATATTGGATCCCCTGGGACCTGATGGAGCTATGAACAGCTGAGTGTACTGAGAAATCAAACCCCTGTCCTCTCAAAGAAACAAGCCATCTCTCCAGACCCTTAGGCTAGTTTTCTGAGCAAGCAATTCTACCTCTGGGAGGTCAGCAAAACCTGCTCTGGCAAGGTTTTTTGTTGTGTTTTTTTTTTTTTTTTTTTTTTTTTTTTTTTAAGATTTAATTTTATTTATGTATGTAACTTTGCCTGAATGTATGTTTGTGCACCATGTAGGTGCAGTGTCTGCTGGAGGAGACCGGTGAGACTAGAGATGCAGACAGCTGTGGCTATCACGTGGGCACTGGGAATCAAACACAGGCTTCTTGGAAGAGTAGCTGGTGCTCTTAACCACTAAGCAAGCTCTCCAGCCGCAAGTTATTAAGTACTACTGTGCGCTTTAGAAGAAAGAACTCTCTAGAATATTACCTCTGTAAGAGGTAATATGTCACAGTGGGGTGGGCCTCCACATCTGCACCAAGGCACACGTTCTTCTCCAGTGAGTGTGCACACACAGCTAAGCCATCTTATTGATAAGGATGAAGGGCTGGTGAGATAAAAGGTGCTTGCCAAACAAGGCTGATGCCCTGAGTTCCAGTCTCAGATCCCACAGTGTAAGAAGGCTGACCCTGAAAATAGTCCTCTGACCACTATAGTACTCATATGCCCTCACTCCCACACACATATATCATACATATGTGCTCATGCGCGTGTGAGCACCCACACACACACTCATATGTACACACAAATAACAAAATTTTAAAGTAAAATAAAATGGCAAGGCCAAACATAGTGGCACATGCTTTTAATTTCAACACTCCCGTGGCACAGGCAGGCAGAACTCTTGAGTTCAAGGCCAACCTGGTTTACACAGTGAGTCCCAAGACAGCCAGAACTACATATTGAAACCCTGTCTCAAGAAATAAGCCAGGTGGTGATGGCACACACTTTTAATCCCAGCATGGCAGAGCAGAGGGAGGTTTTGCAGAAGCAAGCAGGTCTCTGTGTGCTTGAAGCCAGCCTAGTCTACAGAGTGAGTTCCAGGATGGCCAGGGCTGCAGAGAAAACTTGTCTCAAAAACAAAACAACCAGCTACTGGCTGCTGCACACCTTTAATCTCAGCAGCACTCCAGAGGCAGAGGCAGGTGGACCTCTGTGCATTTGAGGCCAGCCTGGTCTACAGAGCAAGTTCCAGGACAGCCTCCAAAGCGATAGAGAAATCCTGTCTCAAAAAAAAAAACAAAAAACAAAAAACAAAAAAAAAAAAACAATTTCTTACCTGAAAAAAAAGTTTTCAACTTGATGGCGGTGGTGCATGCCTTTAGTCCTAACACTAGGAGGCAGAAGCAGGCAGTTTTCTGTGAGTTCAAGGCCAGCCTTGTCTACAAGAGCTAATCCCAGGGCAGCTTCCAAAGCCACAGAGAAACCCTGCCTCAAAAAAACCAAAGGAAAAAAAAAAAGAAAAAAGTTTTCAACATTCATGTCTAAGCTGGAATGCACCAGCTCTTTCTGGATTTTTTTTTTTTTTTTTTTTTTTTTTTTTGAGACAGGGACTCACTATGTGGCCCTGAACATACTGAGATCTGCCTGCCTCAACCTTCCCACTGGTCTTCTCAGTGGCTAATTCTTAATTCTTGATGAAGGGACTTAGGAAAACTTAATGAAGTAAACAGTATGCACTGAGTTATAGAATGAGCAGGGCTTCAGGAGGAGAAAACCAAAGCAGTGCTCAGACTGGGTACTGAGGGGTGGGTACATGAACTTCTCGGGATGAGCAGTCGTACTTACTTAAGGCCGGGCAAATCCCGGACACTCGCTCCGATTTCTTCTGCTTCGGGGTATAGCTTCTCCACCAGTTCCAGAGGGCCCCAAATAGTTTTGTTATAACTCAAAAATGATTTCCTCACTGGAAAACATATAATGTACAATTTCAACTCATGAAACAGACTGGGGTAACAGCATTTTCAGTGTTTAGTCACACTGGGGAGACTGTCCAGTGGCTCACAGTGTCTGATCTTCAAGCATGAGGGTCTGAGCAAATCCCAGCACCCACATGACAAGCTGGGCATGGCTGTGTATGTGCCTGTAACCCCAGTGTTGGAGGGTGGAGATGGGCAGCCCTGAGGACTTGCTGGCTAGCCTGCTCAAGTGAAACTATGACTTTCCAGTTCAGTAGAGCAGAGCAGAGAGCGACAGAAAGACACTGTCCTGCTCTGGCCTCTGTGTATGCACATATGTCATGTTGGTGCACATACAAGTGCACACACCCATATGCACACACACACACACACACACACACACACACACACACACACACACCACTACAATCTTAGCTTAGCTCTATGAGAGGCCAAGACAGAAGGATCAGAAGTTCAAGAGCTGCCTGGGTAACTTACTGATATCTTGTCTCAATAGAAAGGAAAGAGGGCTAGAGACATACCTCAGCAGTAGACATTTGCCTAGCATTCACAAGGTCAGAGGTTTAATCCCTAGTACCATCAGAAAGAAGTTAATGCTTACACACATATGTACACACACACACACACACACACACACACACACACCTTGGCTATCCTTTCACATCAGGAACACCTAGGTAAGCAACTAAATGATGGCCTGAGTCTTTTGTAAGTCTACTAAATAAATGGAGCACAAAGCCAGGTATGGGGGTACACACCTAGATCAGGTGGGAAGCTCTGCAGTATCTTGTCTCAACATTTATGAGAACCCTTAAGAGTTCTGAAGGTATAGGAGACTTAGTTCAGTGGCAGAATGCTAGCCTAGAATGCATGAGGCCCTGGGTTTGATCTGCAGTACTGAAAAAAAGGCAAGCATAGTTAAGGTGCTTTCCTTCTAAATACACACAACTGCAACCTTTATTTTGACATCAGGTGACATAAACATATTTGGGCTGGGGATACAGTTCTGTTTGTAGGCTGCTTGCCTACCATGCAGGAAGCCTTGGATTTGAGCCTAGTACCACATGAAAACCTGGATGCCATTGCCTATGCCTGTCATCAGCGAGGTGGGATGTACAAGCAGCATAATCAAGAGTTCAAAGCCAGCCTGGTCTACAAAGCAAATACCAGGACAGCCAGGGCTATATAGAGAGACCTGATCTCAAAAACAAAAAAATAGTTCTAGATCATGGGCATAATTGCATATGCTTTTAATCCCAGCACTTTGGGGGAGGGAAGGCAATCTGTGAGTTCAAGGCCAGCCTGGTCTACAAAGCAAATTCCAGGGCAGCCAGGGATATACAGAAACCCTGTCTCAAAATCTACATCCCAAAAAAGTTCAAGGTCATCTCAGGCATACAGCAAGTATCCTACATGAGAGATTCTGTCTCTGGCTGCTGTTGAGGACAAGCATTTAGGTCTCAACAACCTTCTCAGGAGCTCCTGAGAGGGATATGCTGCCCTCTTCTGGTCTTCTTGGGTACTGTATGCAGGCAGCACATAGACAAATGCAATCATTAAAACAAAAAAAAACAATCAGACCTTCTGCGGATAAAATGTGGCCATCAAAGCCATCCCTAAGCAAGGACAGCCACCAAGAGCAACTTTACTGTGGGGATAAAAAATTACCAAGGCTAAATAGCTTTACAATGATGCATGAAGATAAACCTGTGACTACAACAATAAAGGATAATACTGATAATACTTCTTAAAAGTAATTTAAAGTTCAATTATTTTGGCCATGATTATCAAATTCCAAATCATCTTTTTAGGGGAGAAGATAGATTTTTATCACTGCCATTAAAAAAACCAAAAACCAAAAACCAACTGGGTGGTGGTGGCACAGGCCTTTTGGTCCCAGCACTCTGGAGGCAGAGGTAGGTGGATCACTGTGAGTTCGAGGCCAGCCTAGTCTACAAAGTGAGTTCTAGCACAGCCAGGCCTGTAACACAGAGAAACCCTGTCTTGAAAAACTGAAACCAAAACAAACCAAAAACCAAAGTTAAAACATATGAAGGGAGGCAGGCTGGAGAGATGGCTCCTGGGTAAAGGCACCCCTCAAGCTTAAACCAGAATTTGATCCCCAGGACACACAAAGGATGGCAAGAACTGAACTCTAGTTGTCATCTGACCCTATACTCACACCCTGGCACATAACTGGTAATTTCCTGATACAATAGAAGTACCTGGGAGATGAGCTGGCAAGAAGGCTCAGGGGTTAAGAGAATATACTGCTTTTCCAGGGACTGAGTCAATCCCCACAACCACCTGTAACTCCAGCTCCAAGAGATTTGACGACTTAGGCATCTGATGCCCTGATTTCATGAATTCGTACCCACACACAGACACGCATAATTAAAAAAAATTTAATTCTTTTAAAAAAGTATCTGCATCTGGGAGTCAGAGGCAGGCAGATTTCTGTGAGTTTGAGGCCAGCCTGTAACTACAAAGCATGATCCAGTACAGCCAGGACTGTTTCACAGAGAAACCCTGTCTCTAGGAAAAAAACAAAAATAAAAAAATATCTGTGGTCTGGACAGATGGCTTAGCAGTTAAAAGCCCTCGCTGCTCCTCCGGGGTTTCAGAATTCACTTCCTAGTGGTCAAGTCAGAAGGCTCCCAACCATCTCTAACTCCTGCTCCAGGGAGTCAGGTAATCTCATACACATGGCATACAGACACATGCACATATATAAAGTTGTGCTCCACAAACACCCCAGCCAACACAGGATGGCCTCAAACTTGTTCTGTAGCCCAAGCTGACCCTAAACACCTTATCTTCCTGCCTCTCCCCTCTTCATGCTAGGATTATAAGTATGTGCTACCATGCCTGGCTTAATTGCTATTTTAAGTAAAAGGATAGTTATTAGCCAGTATATATTTAAAAGCTGAATATTAAAACAGCCTGCTTTGTCATCTTGTTTTGTGTGTCTGTGCAGGTGGGTGTGGAGGCCAGAGGTCAACCCTGGGTAGCATCCTCAAGAGCCATTCACCTTGAGTTTTGAGGCAGGGTCTCCCCCTGGGACTAATTCATCTCCAATTAAGCTCCAGGAATCCTCCTGCTTCCACCTCCCCATTTCAGGGATTACAAGCTTGCTACCACGCCTAGCTTACTATGTGCTTACTGGGGATCAAACTTCACTGAGCTACCTCCCAGGCCTGCTATCTTGTGTTTCGTTCCACACGTAGGTCTGAGTTGCCTGATTCCTTGATAAAGCTCTCTGCCCTCTGCACAGAGAAGGTTCCTGCTGTGTCAGCCCTTGGGCTACACAGCAAGTTCCAGGCCAGTCTGGGCTATTTGCCAATTCCTTGACTCCAAACAAACTACCACCCCAGCATGGTGGAGCACACCTTTAACCTGAGAAGGCAGAGGCAAGTGGACTTCTGTGAGCTGAAAAGAGCTTGGTCTAGACAGTGAGCTCCAGGCTAGCCAAGGCTGCACAGAGACCCTCAAATCCACTTATTTCCCATGTAACAACTTCCAGATGAACTTCGTAGCAGACGATCATCCTTTTGGAGGTGACCTGTTTCTACGGCAACCTGGTTCACAGGACACTTTTTCACAAGTCCCCATGCACTGAAGACCTTTCTAACTCAATAATCTACTTTGATTTCTTCAACAGGGTTCAAACTATTAATAATAAGTTCATGCCAGCATCACCACTCAGTTTTGGTTTCAAAAGAATCTGGGGCTGCTGAGATGGCTTGGTGGGTAAAGGCACCTGCCTCCTACAAGTTGCGCACGCGCACACGTGCTCGTGTGTGTGTGTGTGTGTGTGTGTGTGTGTGTGTGTGTGTGTGTAAATAAATGTAATAACTTTTAAAAATTACCCAAGAAAACCAGTTCAAGGGCAAACATTTTAAAAACATGTAATCAGGCCAAGCATGGTGGTGTATACCTTAATCCCAGAGCTTGAGAGGCAGAGGCAGACAGATCTCTGGGTATCTATAAATTCAAGACCAACCTGGTCCATATAGTGAGTTCAAGGTGAGCAAGGGTTATATAGGGATATCTCTCAAAAAAAAAAAAAAAAAAAAAAGAAAGAAAAAGAAAAAAAGGAATCTAGTTATTTTTTCTCCAATTAAAAAAAATTCTTTCTGAAGATTATCCACTAGGAAATGAACACATTCCATGTTTTTAATTATTACTGTGTGTGTGGATGTGGTACAGCCACAGAACTTCATAGGGTTATTCATCTCTCTCTCCTTTACATTAACCTGGGTTCCAAAGAGCAAACTCGGGCCTTCCAGCTCATGGAGCAAGCCCTCTTTACTCAGAACACCTGAGTCAGTATTTTAAAATGCAAAATGACAGTAGCTACCACCTCACAACCATTTCTCAGGATATTTAGGGTGCAAAGAGAGGGACTGTAGGGTGAACAGATTCTGAGTCTCAGGGTACCTTTAAGGCCGTGTTTCAGGCAGTGTTCCATAACCACAAAGAATTGCTGCAGAGGTGGGTAGTCCGAGTCCAGGGTGCGGCCAAAGCTCAGGGCAGACTCAATGAGCCCCTTGATACTCAGCTTAGCCATGTTTAATAAGTTGGCTCTCTCCACAGCCATGGGGTCTTTCGTAGCTGAAAAGCACAAGAAAAGTCCGACATCATTCCCAAGGCAGGATAATGACAAGGTCACAAATCTGTCCCTGCCCATAGAAACCAACAGTTCAATGTTCTGTGGTTGGCAACTGAATTATCTCCTCAGGCCAAGGTGCTGAGACACCACCTCTTTATTTCCCCCTCACAAACCACAGCAAAATGCCACACCCACTGTGGCCAATGCTTATGATTTATCCTCAAGACTCCACACTGGGAATGAGGTTTATTTTCTGGGCTGGCAAGATGGCTCAGAGGGAGAGGCATTTGTGTGGGGCCTGACCACCTGGGTTCCATCCATAGCACCTCCTGAGAGTTGTCCTCTGGCCATCACTTACCAGCTGTGGCATATCTGTGCACAGGTGCACACTCAAATGTGCATGCATGCACGAACACACACACACCATTAAAGCACCCTGGCATAGTTATGCCTGCTTACTACACACACAGGGTCTCTTAGATCAGGCCTGGCCTGGAACTCACAGACATCCCCTGCTGTGCCTCCCAAGTGCTGGGATTAAAGGTGTCCACCACCACCACCACCACCACCATCATCACCACCCAGCACTTAAAAACATTTTAAAGTAAAATGACTTCCTGTGGAAATAAGCTTGGGAACATGAGTCACATGTTTAAAAATCTTATAAATGGTGGACAGTGGGTATAGTCTAATGATTTCCAAGGGACGGCTCAGCTATTAAGAGCATTGCTGTTCTTTCAAAGGACCAAAACTTGGTTCCTAGCATCCATTAGGATGGTTTACCTGTAACTCCAGCACCAGGAGGCCCAGCATCCTATTCTTCCCCCCCCCATAATTTTCTTTATTTCAAAAAGCTCAAAATACACTGGCAACAAAACAAAGGTAAATTTATCAGATTCTGGAATCTCCCAGAACACACATCACGGGGGTGGGGGAATGTAAAGTTAAAGAAGAAAGACTTCATTCAGTCCAGGGTGGTACAGCCTGTGCCTTTAACCAGGAGGTTAGTTCCCATGCCAGCCAGGGTCCCATAGAGTCTCAAAAAAGACAAAATACAGCTTCCAAATCAAAAGGAAAGAAAATAAAGACAGAAAAAGACAAAAGAAAAACCCTAATATGGGCTTGAAAGAGGGCTCAGGTTAAAATCATCTCTTCCAGAGGACCAGGGTAATGTTGGACCCTAATTCCGGGGTCCTGATGGGCCGGTGGGAGAGCCCTGCAACACAGACACCAAACCAGGAGATGCAACAAGCAAGAGGCATTTATTAAACGAGTGCGCGCTCGGGTGTCAGCAATCCGGGGAAAGCTGCACACCCCTCAGAGGGTCCAGGCCCTTTTTAAAGAGTGCAAAGTGGCATGCATGCATGGGGCACAAGGTGATTGATTACAAAGCATAATTACAAAGTACAAAGTATAATTTCATGTTTGAGAGATCACCCAGGTGTGACCTGTCTTCTTTAAAGGAAAATAACAGAATGACTTGGAAAGACCCCAGACTGTCTGTTGGCCAGGTATGACCCAGACAGGACCGTTCATCTGGAACCATTTGTTCCAGGGTTGGGGCCTATTTCCTTGATGTGGGCCACGACCTGGGAGAGACTTCACTTTAGTTATTTCACAAAAGATTGATGATTCAGTTACTAGCCCTATTTAACAGAATCAGCCTAGCATACCACTAGTCCATCACCATAGTAACTTTCTTGTTCTTATAATTTCTGTTCTTTCCTCCATGTCAATGTCCATTTTTTATGATTTTCTATATTCCGCTTGCAAGAATTATTCTCCTGCCCCTTTCCCACATCCTTAATCTACAGATTAAAGTCCCTTCTTTCAGTAATTACTAGCACCTATGGCAATTGCTCAACTCCAGTTCCAGGAGATCCAACACATCCAGCCTCTGGAGGCTCCTATACTCAGGTACACACCATTATAAATAAAATGGTTTTTAAAAATCAGCTGTTTCCCCAACACTCCAAACACTGCCAAGTGGCAGAAATACTTTCTGCAAAGATGACAAAACTGAGATGTGAAAAATAAAGCACTTAGCTAACATTTTGTAATTTCCATATAGCTTTGGGTGTGGTAATGTGCTTTTAATTCCAACATTTGTGAGGGGGAAGAGTGAGTGTGTGTGGATGGGGGGAGGGGTGTGTGTGATCTGAGTTTGAGGCCAGCCTGGTCTACATGGAGTTCCAGGCCATCCAATGCTAGATAGTGAGACCTGTCTCAAAAACAAACACCTTCAAATGCATGACAAGTCAGGTGATTACAGCATTCATTAGACCAGTTTGGGTTATTTAGTAGCATACTGTCTCAAAATGAAACAATTGCTGAGCCCAATTCGAATTCCAGAACTAGGGAGGCAAAGGTAGAAGGATCTCTGTGTGGCGAGCTCCTGGACAGTCAGCATTACATAGAACCTGTCTGAAAACAAAAGTCCATTTTTCCAGCACTGGAAAAAAAAAAAAAAAAAAAAAAGTCCCTAGTGCTCTGGTCCTCTATCTGGAGTTAAATTTCAGCTCTGTAGGCTGAGTCCTGACTCCAAATCCTCTGCAATTTAAAACTGGCAGACTGAACAGTGACAGGTTTGCACCCAGCATTTCCTCCACCTTCTGCGGCGGTGGTGTGATTCCCTCTCCCCACTCCGAACCCCCGCGATGAAACGACCTGACTTTTCATAATCGGTAGCATTCTCTTTTTTAGACTGTTTATCACAACCTGTAACCTGAACCGGATGAGCTTAGGAGGGCGGCCGTGCAGTAGCAGCCGGCAGCCGCGCTCCCCGGCAGTCCCTAGAGCCGGCCGGCTCCCTCGATGTCCCCAGCCTGCACCGGAGCCCTCGCGGGGCGCGCTGCCGGGGCCTGGCACCGCACCGCTCCCCTCCCCATCCTTCCGTCCGCCACCCGCGAGGCTGGGAAGCCATCTCTTGTCCCCGGACGCCGCGGTCACCGCCCGTCCACTGGCCTCAGCAGCCAGGCCCCAGGGCGGGCGGGGCGCAGGGATGAGGGCGGGCGCGCGTTGCCATGGCGATCCGGGGAGTCCCCTGAACCCCCCGATGACTTGCATGGCCCCGGTGGTGGGTGGCGACCCCGACTACTGCCCTTACCCATGGCGACGGTGCGCGTGCAACACGGGCTCGCGGGGCGAGTCAGCAGCTCCCCGCGGGCGCGCGGCGGCCACCGCGTCTGACCCGGCTCGCTGAGACCACAGCGCCCCTAGCGGCCGGAGGACGCCTCGGCCGCGAAGCCATTCCCTGCGGATCATCTCCCGCCAGTCAGGGGAAATGTAGCAGGGACCTGAGGGGCTCCGGCACTGCAGCCCAGCCAGCCGCACTGCAGCACAGCATCAAGGGTGGAGGTAAAGGTGGCCTTTAAGCCATCTACAAACATTTTATTCACGCAGGCTGAATGGGTTTGATTGAATGCACCGGGCCGTTTCCTTTGATGTTTGACAGAGTGGACCGACAAATTTAGAAAACCTCGCGCAATTAAGAGCCGAGATATATATATATATATATATTCCCAGCATTTGGGAGATGGGAGTTCGCATGATTCGTAGTCGAAGATTCAAGTTCAGATGCTCAGATTTGAACTCCACTGAAATCCCGATGCGGTGGTGCACACAGCTAATCCCAGCATTCACTCAGAAGGTGGAAGCAGGATTGCTGAGAACTCGAGGTTACTCTGAGCTACATAGCAAGTGCCAGCTCATCCAAGGCTACCTAGAAAGACCATGTCCCAAATAACAACATGTAATACTTTGTAGGAGGGTGTGGTGGCCCTGTAAATACCAACTCTTAGGAGGTGGAAGCAAAATGACAAGAAGTGTTTGTCGTTACAATTCCTTTCCTGGGGGTAAACAATGTCTACCCAATCCTCCTAAAATCCCAAGGGCAAACGGAGGTACGATTCTACCAAAGTGATTAAAACCATTCACCTGAAGAAATCAGTGAGCTATGGGGAGAGGTGTGGATGAGCTTGAAACAACTGTATGGATGATGAGCCACATCCCCCCTATGCACACACACCATAGATAAGTCACGAGGACATCGAGGGATATACCAGGAACCCTGTCTAGAAAAAAGAAAAACAAAAACACAACTATCTATGAAACCCACAGTTGGGCAGGAACATTGCCTTACTTCCCTCAGCTGTTTCTTACTTCCCCAATATATAGTAATAAAAAAAAAACATTTTATCCTTTCCCATTCCCATGGCAATAAACAGGTTTTTTGTTCTTGTTTTTTCTTTCTTTCTTTCTTTTTTTTTTTTTTTTTTTTTTTGGCCAGGGTTTCTCTGTGTAACCCTGGCTGTCCTGAAACTCACTCTGTAGACCGGGCTGGCCTAGAACTCAGAGAGCCACCTCCTTTGCCTCTAAAGTGCTGGGATTAAAGGCCAAGACAGCTGTTAATACTTTACAGCCCACTATCCTATTCTTATCTCACCTGCAGGTCACTAGGATCTCTCAGGCATTCCAGAGCAAAAGGTCAAGGCCCTTAAGGGATGCCTGGCTTCACATTGCGCAGTCATTCTTACTCAGGTCTGAACACTAATGGCTGGGATAGAGCAGTTCATTTTTGGGTAAGATATCAGGTTAAGGCCAGCTATCATGGCCTCACACTGGAACTTAAAGGTGTGTACCACCACTCCACCTTTTCTCTAAAATTTCTCAAAACTTATTACACTACTGGGTCTAGAGATATGGCCCAGGGGTAAGTGCTGGATGTGATTGATTGAACTATCACAAACCCAGGAACTAAATTTGACATTGCTACCAGCAGTGTGTAACTTTGGCTGTTTTGTCTTGGAATGCTCAGAAGTGAAGATTTCCTCATTATTTTATTGTCTTGTGAGTATGCATGTGGGTGTATTCTATATGTATGGTACTACTGGGACCACCTTTCCTCGGTGGTTGGGCCTATTTACAGTTTGAAATTTGTCATATAAGTACCACGAGCTAACTGATTTCGCCACTGGAGCTCCTACAGTTTGAAATTTGTCATCTTTTCCTCACTAGCTTAGATTTAATATTCTATAGTAGTCTGGTGTCAGGTTTGTTGCCATTGTCCTCTAGTTTGTCTTTTAAAATTACATTTTATTAATTTATTTGGGGGACCAAGGAGATCAGAAGATAACTTAGGGAGTTGGTTCTCTCCTACCATGTACACTCTGGGAACTGGATTATCAGGCTTGGTTTTACCAATTGAACCATCCTGACAGCCCTGCTTTAGCTTTAAGTTTCATTTTATGTAAGTGTTCTGCTGGCATGAATGTCTGTGCACCACGTGTGTCTGGTGCCTGGGTAGCCAGAAGTCATGGGATCCATCCAGACTGCAGCACACCTACACGGCAGTTAACTGACTCCTTCCTTTTTTTCCCTCCATAAAAGATAAATAAAAAGGATCTGTAGCAGAACTTAAAAAAATAAACTAATAATAATAAAAAGGATCTGTGCTCTAAGTCCTTCCAGGAAAACAAGTGCAATTAAGTACATATTATATAGGAGCATGAGAACAGTAGGCGTGCCAGCACATGCCTATAATCCCAGCATTTGGGAGGCAGACATTTTTGCCAAGTTTGGGGCCAGCTTGGTCTACCTATTAAGCTCAGGCCTAGCTACGGCCACATAATAAGATCCTTTCTCATTAAGTAAATAAATAACACAGAATATACTAGAGCCATAAAGCAGAGCCTGGAGGACACAGGGTCACTGGAGATTGGTAGTGTTTATCTAATATGCATGAAACCCTAGGTTCAATCCCCAGCATTGCATAAACAGTGTGTAGTGTATATCTGTAATCCCAGTTCTCAGGAGGTGAAAATAGATTAAGCTCATCCTCAGTTTGAGGCTAGACCCTGACTCAAAACAAAACAAAAAACCCTCGCTCTCTCTCCCCTCCCCTTCCACTCTCTTCCTCTCCTGCTTTCTGTTGGCCACCAGCTAACCCCTCCCCCTCCCAATGAACTCTACGTGGGCGCTGAGTCTCCTGTTTGTGTTTCATAGGTAAAAGCAAAACAAAAGAACAACATTGGTGCTGAGACTGCTTCAAGCCCTCCTCGAGTACTCGGCAGCCACCTGCTGTCAGACGGCCAACCAGAGACATCTGGAGAACCCGATTCTGAACCAGCAGTCCACTTCCATCCACCGGTTCGCTGGAAATGCCATCCCACACGGGCTACAATTTGGTCTCAAAGAGACCCTTGAGTTCCATACTACCAGGACTGTGATGAAACAACCAGCTATCAGGACGTGGCAGCACCCCAGCTTTCTAAGATCCCTCAAAGACGATCTACTCCCCCAAGTGTGCGGGAAGTAGTCTTGAGAACCCTAACCTGCCACGCCCAACCCCCCCCCACCTTTTTAATAATAAGAGGTGGGAATGTTGAAAACCAGCAGTCCCCAGACTCCGCCCCCAGACGATGGGCAGGAAGCTCATGGCCTTGTCATTGCTACCTCATGCTTTACCTGTCGCTTTACCTGGCTGCGCTGGGGGCAGGGGACTCAGTTACACATTCTTAAGTTTCCCTTTTAAAGCAAGTGTGCGCCCTTCTCTTTTTCTCTCTCTTCCATTCTTCATTTGCTTTCTTCTTTCTCCTGCTTTCGATTGGCCACCAGCTACCCCCCCACCCCACACTCAATAAACTCCACAACCGCACTGGGAAAAAAAAAAAAAAAAAAACTCTTGGTGGCCTCTTCTGGAAACATGCCATTCAAGTGAGGGGAGAAGAGGGCAGAGGTCATCGGAGGCCAAAACTCTTAGCGTGTTAGCAGTCCAGGCCTGTTTCATCTGACAGTCACCGAAACCATCAGTTTTACAAGTGTCTCACGAGGCAGCCAAGGATGGGGACGGAGAGCAGGGTTGAGATCTGCGAAGGAGAACATTGAGGAAAGGCACAGCTGCTCACAGCTTTCCCCCTGAGGGTAGGAAGAAAAGAGCAGTGGGACTCATCTCAGAACAATCAATCCAGCCGGATTACATGGCTGTCCCAGCCTCAAACTTGTGATCCTCCTGCCTCAGCCCTCCTGAGTGATGACATTAAAATCTGTGGTTTTCAAGACTGACTAGATAATAACTAGACCTGGCTATGTGGGTTAAGTCTCAGGAAAAGCAGCTGTTGCAGATGACAGTTGGGCCAGAGGTGGACTCAGGTGAGGCTAGTAAACCGGGAGGTTTTCCCTGTTTTCCAAACAGGTCCAGGAATGGGGCTGCTGGAAGAGCATTTTATCTTAACAGCCCCCTGCTCTGACGTACACTGCAGTGTTGGGGTATAGAAGATCTCAAAGGATAAAAACAGCTACATAGAACATCTTAACTCTTTCAAATAACTGACTAGAATTGGGACTGGAAAGGAGACTCAGTGGGGAAAGCCATAAGCGGCTGTGCCTTTCCCCCAAAGTTCTCCTCGCCTGTTGGTCTTGCAGAGCACCTGTCTGTTTCCCAGCACCCATGTTGGGAGGCTCACAACTGACTGTAATTCCAACTCAAGGGCTCTGCCACTCTTCTGGCCTCAGAAGGCACCTGTATACACACACACACTTCTGTTCTGCTCTTCCCAGGTACTGACATTATCTTAAAGCACTTCCAGCTTTCTACTCTTATAATAGCTAAGGATATTTAAGCAATAATAGTTAACTCTTCAATCTGCTGCCATGCCCCCAGCATCATATGGACTCTTTCTCTGGAAACCTAAAATAAACCTTCCTTACATGGCTCTGGTCATGGTGCTTTTATCTCAGCAGCAGAAAAAAGAAACATACAAGTATGAGCAACATTTCACCAATCACTATTGGGGAAAATGCTAGACACCTGAGCTTAACCAATCCTCAGGGGCAGAGGGTGTGGCTCAGTTGATGGGATACACAAGCACAAAGCCCCGGGCTCAACCTCCACCACTGCACAAACCAGGCGTGTTGGCACACATCAATATTCCCAGCACTTTAGAAGTGCAAGCAGGAGGGTCAGAAGTTCAAGGTTACCTGGGACACATGAGACCCTATTTTTACACACACAGAAATCACTTAACAAAGAATGACACGGTAAAGTCTATCAGTATAAAACAATTTATTAAATTACACTTTAAATTTTAAAAAAAGTGGAAGCACCAACAATTTTCACATATTTTAATTTCCAACAAGTGAGGTAGAAGCATTTTCCCTCCAGGGACCCTTTTGTGAAAATGTCACCATACATATAAATTTATTTTCCAAACATCAATACATAAAAGGAAAAACTGAGTAACGCCCCCAAAGAGGCAAACTGAGATGAAAATCAGGTATACCTTGTAAGCTGGCATCAATTCAGGAAAGTAAACTGCCTCAAAAATAATTTGTTTTATATCAAATCCTCCTCTAATGTTGAAATGTTACATTCCAAACATTAACAAAGGGGACAGGGAGATGATGATTAGGGAAAAGGGGAATAAGAAGCACACTCACGGATGTAATTCAAAGACTAGGCTTAAATGAGACACATTTGATACTGAAAAGCAAAGTAAGGAAAACAAGCCAATGCAACTTCTCTGATTCTGGAATTAGACCTGATAATTCTTTTTTGAGATCTGAACCTTGGTTATAATCGAAACTTTTGAGTACAGACCCCAAAGTCCAACCCACAATCAAGGGCAGAAAAATCTTGAACACATACTTAAAGTACTTACAAATTTAGACTTTTCAGTTTGGAGTTCACCAGTACTTTTAGAGTAAAATTTTACGTGATGACAGAATCTCATGTTTAACAAGATTACACTAATGAAAAAGAAAAGAAAAATCTGGAACTCTGAAAAGAATACAGTCACTTCATTTTTGTACCTTTTACCCAAAAGTCATCCTCACAGTTTAAGTGTGGCGTTCCCAAGCTGGAACATCAGGTGACACACCAATGCCTGTGACACTGGAGGCAGGAGTGTGGGATTCACTCTCTTTGAAAATCACCCAGAACGTGGCAGAGACTCTTGTGTTCCCTTGATGGAAGGTCCACGATGTGAGATAGATTAAGGAAGACAGATTCAGCGGAAATATACCTGTGCACCATGATGCCCATTTACAACCTCAGCACTTGATTAGGAATCCAAGTTTGCTATACCGTAGGTTGGACCATAACCTGAGATACATGAGGCCCTATAGGGAGGAACAAAGGGAGGGGAGAGAATAATCTAATTGAAAATAGAAAGCCAGGTGTGGTGGCCCACATCTGAATCCCACCAGTCAGGATGTAGTAGCCAAAGTCACCTTTAATAAGAGTCACAGCCAACCTGAGGAACTTGACACTTTACCTCTTCAAATAACCTGCTTATCTAATGACACTGGGAGCTAAGTGTGTGAATATCTTTAATCCAGTGGTTTTCAACATTCCTAATGCTTTGACCCTTTAATACAGTTCCAGTTGTGGTGACCCCCAACCATACAATTGTTTCATTGCTACTTCATAATTGTAATTTTGCTGCTATGCACTGTAATGTAAATATCTGATATGCATGACACCTGATATGTGACCCTTGTGAAAGGGTAGTCATACTACCTGCCCCAAAGGAGTAGTGACTCACAGGTTGAGAACCACACTTTAATCTTAACACTGGAGAGGCATAGACAGGATTTTTGTCCAGGTCCAGTCAGAGTTTCAGAGAAACAACGGGAAGCCAGGCACTGTAGAACATGCCTATAACCCACCAAGTGGGAGGCTGACACAGGAACTTAATGAAGAATCTAGGCCAGTTTTGCCCCCTTTTTTGAGACAAGGTCTATTATAAACCCTGGCTGTCCTGGAATTCACTATGTAGGCTGGCCTTAAATTCACACGTCTCTGCCACCCAAGTGCTGGGACTAAAAGTGGGCACCCTACTACACCACACAGCCTCGCTGTTCTAGTTACAGCATAAATCAACAAGATAGAGATTCTGGGGCTATAGAACCGAAGGGACAGCCTATTTCTGCTGGCTCCAGATGACAGATCAGGCTCTTACCTCTCCCTCGCTCACTCCACAGACCATCCCAATTCCCTTTTCTTAGTGAAAACAGTCTTTAAAATATGCCCATGAAAAACACAGACAATGAGTTTCTATTCGCTCAAGTGCCTGAACCAACAGCAGCAAAGCCTGAATGGCCAGGTGGAGGAATAAGGATATTAACTGCTCTGTGTTTAGATGGTGAAAGAGCTTCTCCAAAGGAGGGAAACGTTGCAGCGAGGACACGCTGCCCAGCAAGATCAATTTGTGTTTGGCTCTGGTTATCGCCACATTGAGCCGTCGCCAATCTTTCAAGAGCTCACCAAGCTGGAAAAAAATACAATATCTAATTATCCTGGTTATGTTACATATTTGAATTTGTTATATCTAAGGACATGGTTTACCTTGAATGATTTTAGCATTTTTTTTTATTGTTTTTTTTTTTTTTTTTTTTGATTTTCCAAATGGGGTCTCTTGTTACCTACCCAGACTCAAACTTGCTATACAGTCAAGGTTACCCTTGAACTCCTAACCATCTACCTCCACCTCCCAAGTACTAGGATTACAGGCTGTGACTCTGTTATTTGTTCTTTTGTATTTTGAGGCAGTCTGGCTATGTATCCTGGGCTAACCTCCAAATCAAGACCTTCCCAATTCAGCCTCTATTGTAGGAAATACCTGAGATACTAAGGAAAAGCGCAGCATAGAATGGCATGTACATAATCTAAAAAGTCACAAGAAACAAGGTTTTGTGACTAAATTGATGGCTCAGTGGTTAAGAGCACTGGCTTCCAGAGGACCTTGTTCAATTCTCAGCATCCACACAGTTGCTCACAATCACCCATAACTCCAGTTCCAGGGGATGCAATGCCCTCTTCTGGCTTCCTCAGGCACCATGCACGCAAAAGGTGCACAGACATACACATAGGCAAAATACTTATACATGCCGGCATGCCTTTAATCCCAGCACCCTGTGAGATTCAACCAGCCTGGTCTGCAAAGGGGAATTCCAGGACAGCCAGGGCTGTAACAGGGAGAAACCCTGTCTCAAAAAAACAAAAACCTACCCGTACAGATAATAAAAATTAAAAGAAAGGAGATTGAAGAGTAGAAAATAACATAAGCAAAACAAAACACCTGAAAATATCTCTGAATTTGAAAGTATTTTGTCCATGCCCCTTGTTCTGATCATTTTTATTTATTGCATATATGATGTGTGTCAGTGAATGTATGCTATGGCACATGAGTGAGGTCCGAGGACAACTCTGGGAAGTCAGTTCTCTCCTTCTCCTTCTCCAATATGGCTGCTTCTGGACATCAAACACAGGTCAACAGACTTAAGAGCCAAAAGTACTTGGTGGCACATGCCTTTAATTCCAGCAATACTGGCACTCAGGCATATGTATCTCTGAGTTCAAGGATAGCATGGTCTATAGAGTTACACAGAGAAACCCTGTCTCAAAACAAACCAACCAAAAAAGTCAAGTGCTTTTATCCACTGAGCCACCTGCCTCCCAATCACACACACCTTGCCTTTAAACCAATTTAAAAATAATAACAGGGGAGCCTGGAGAGATGGCTTAGTAAATTAGGGCACTTGATGTTTTTGCAGCCGACTTGGGTTCAATTCCCAGCACACATATTGTAGCTCAAAACCAACCATAACTTCAATTCCAGGGGATCTGACACTGTCTTCTAGTCTCCAAGGCACCAGGCACACACAAAAATGTCTAAAAACTGCTTTTAGGCTAGGCAATGGTGGTGCATACCTTTAATCCCAGCACTTGGGAGGCAGAGGCAGGTGGATCTCTATGAGTTCCAGGCCAGCCTGGTCTACAGAGTAAATTCCAGGACTGTTTCCATAGCTACTGAGAAACCCTGTCTCAAAAAACCAAAAAGAAAAAAAAAAGTTTTAGAGGGAGCTAGAGTGTAGCTAAAATGGTGAGCTGTTTGCGTGGCCTCGTGGGTTTTAGCACTGATGCAGTGAGGCGGGAGGAGGGAAGAGCACAGATGAATTAGTAGTTAACAGTCAACTTACAGTTCCATCCTTATTACTCCTAACGAAGGACACCAGGATGAGACTCTTGTCCCTTCCTTGGTATTTGTCTACCGTGTTAACTTCGACCCCCTCGACAGAAGAGCGTGCCAGTAAGTCAGTGATGGTCCTCAGCTGCTGCCTGTATGGTGCGATGATACCAATATTGGAGGGACTGCAGCCAGCCTAGGTGGAAAATGGAGAGGATTTAAACAAAACACCCCGATTTCTAAATTCTTTAAGCTTTCCTGAATTTATTTCTAGTATTTACATTTTAGATTTTCTTTTGTATGTGTAGGTGGTTTGTATGTGTTTGGGTGCCTGTGTATGAGGGGGATACCTGTGGATGCGGAGGCCAGAGGTTGGGGGCAGGTATCTTCCTTGCTCTCCATCTTACATGATGGTACAGGGTTTCTCACCTGAACCCAAGCTCACCAATTTGGCAAGTCTAGCTTACTAGGTTTCTCCATCTCCACCTCCTCAGCATTGATTTTATAGGAGGCCATTAGGGACACCTGATGTTTATGTGGGTGCTGGGGATCTGAACTCAGGTCCTCAAGCTGGCAAAGAAGAGGGCTTTTGTCTAAGTTTTCTCCCCAAACCTACAATTTTCTGCTATCCCATTCACAGTCAAGTTTCTAATGACCCACACTCAGGACACTACACAAAGACACTAAATGGAAACCTCAATGGCCACCATAAGAATGAACTTCACTGGGCCTGGTGGTGCACGCCTTTAATTCCAGCACTCTGGAGGAAGATGTGGATTTCTGTGAGTTTGAGGCCAACATGGACTCAAGTGAATTCCAGGACAGATAGAGCTATGTAGTGAGAAACCCTGTCACGAAGTACAACAAAAAAATTCAGAAGTTTTCTAAATGATCAGCATTCAGTCTCTTCATCTTTTACTTATTTATTTTGAGGTTTGACCTTCAGATCTAGAGCTGGAGTTAGAGGTGGTTGTGAAGTGTCCAATATGGATGATGGAAACTGAATTCCAGTTCCTTCTAAAAGCATCAGCCCTTAACTACTGAGCCACCTCTCCAGCCCTGGGCCCTCCTCATCTTAATAAACAATTGTTAACACCAGATCTTGTTTCTTACAGTCTAACAATGTTTAATAAGATAGTTGGTATTAAATGGCTCTGTAGGAACATTGACTATCCTTGAGAACTCTACATTACCTTAATAAAAACTGAGGTTAGAAAGACAACCAGTCTGGCTTCTGTGATATTGCTCACACCACCATTTTCAGTTTGTTCTGGAGCTGGGACCTAAGCAGAGAAATGTGAGACAGTGAACTGTTTACACTGCAAGGACCCAAGGAGCTACAAATACTTGTGGTGATATTGTTTATGAGCTAAAAGCATAAAGTTTGTCTAAAGATAAGAGTGCAAAGCTAGCCACACTAGCTAGCCACAGAGGCCAGGCAGTGGGTCACACACCTTTAATCCCAACACTCAGGATACAGAAGCAGGTGGACCTCTGTGAGTTCAATGACACCCTGGGCTACACAAAATTGATCCAGTTTAAAAGAGAAACAGAGCTCATACAAAGGTGACCCTAGCACTTGGAGTGACACACCACCTTTAATCCTAGTACTAAGGAGGTACAGACAGGAGGACTCAAAAAAAAAAAAAAAAAAAAAAAAAAAAAAAAGAAAGAAAAGACAGGAATGGCAGACAAGACTGTGATGCTGTGTTGAGATGTGAAAGTATGAGTATGTGTGCTAAATTTGGTTTTAAGTAATCAGCTCAAAAAAGTAAATTTAAATACTAGAACAAATGTGCTGGGTAGGGGTGGTGCACGCCTTTAGTCCTAGCACTCAGGAGGCAGAAGCAGGAAGATCTCTGTGAGCTCCAGACCAGCCTGGACAGGCTCCAAAGCCACAGATAAACCCTGCCTTGAAAAACCAAATAAAATAATAAATAAATACAAATGTAAAAAATACTGAAGATTTTCTTCATTCTTATTTTACCTTATCTGTATTAAGAAAACAAACAGGATTGTCTGGCTCAAACACTCCAGCCAGCCAGGGGTTATCAGAATAATTGGCATAAAACTCCAGGTTCGGCTTGACGTCTTTGAAGTTGGGCAGGGTTATCAATGCATTGGCCACTCGGTCTGAACCACATTCCAGCTTCCCTTCGTATGTGAGTTTATTGCTTAAGGACATAATCTTACTGGAAGAAAGGCAAAACTCAGTCTCAGTTTGGATGGACATGTAAAGAACCCGCAGAGCAATGGGGGCTGTCCCGGCCACACACACCTGTTCATCCTGTACTGCACTGTCAACTGTACTACAGCGCTCTTGTTCCGCTCCAGCCGCTTGAACAAGCTCTCGCTCATGCCCAGAGCTCTGCCAACAAAACACATTCAGGCTCATCAACACTGCCCTTTAAAGGAATCCAGCTAATTCTCTAATTTTACCTACTAGTGCACATCTGTATATGTGCTCTGCACCCCCAATGAGGTGTCTCTGCGGAGGTAGGAGGGCAGTTTCCTTTGGTGGCTCTCTCCTTCCATCTTTACTGAGTGAGGCTCCTCAGGCTTGGGAAAGTGCTTTTCCTGATGAGCTACCTCACTGGTTCCCAAAATCCCAGCTTAAAACTAAAACTTGCTTTTTTTTTTATTTTAAGACAGGAGTCAAGTATCCCAGGTGGGCCCAAAAACACTTAGGTAGCAGAAGATCTCCTTGAATTTCTAATCCTCCTCCTCTATCTCCCTCATGCTAGAATTATAGCGTGTACCACAACTGGTCCATGCACTGCTGGGGATGGACCCCAAAACTTTGTGCATGGCAGGCAAACAGTTTGAGAACTGAGCTACACCCCCAGCTCCTACAGTGAAAACTTCAATACTGAGTGATGACAAAGGTCTGCAATCCCAACTCTCTAGAAGCCTCCTTCAAGTCTGGACAATATGGCAAAATCCAATCTATTAAAACGAAACTGAAGCCTGTGTGAGACTGCACATCTTTAGTCCCAGCACTCGGGGGGCAGATGCAGGCAGATTTCTGAATTGAGGCAAGCCTCGTCTACAGTGACTTCTAGGCCAGCCAGGGATACATAGTGAAAACGTGTCTCAAAACCAAAACACTAAAATGAAATGTCTACTGCCCCCATTGTTGTCAGCTACACACTGGAATAGGGAATGGAACCTCGATGGAAGAACTATCTCTACCAAACTGGCATACAGGAATGTCTGCGGAACACTTTCATGACTGCTAACTGATATGGAGCGGGAGGGCGCAGCCCAGTCCACTGTCACTGGATGGGGTGCCTCGGCTGTGCAACAAAGGCCTGCAACCAAGCCAGTGAGCAGGGTTCTCCAGTGGTAGTGGTCCCTGCTTCGGTTCCTGACTTGATTCCATCAAGGAGGGACAGTAATCTGTAAGCCAAATAACACGCTTCCTTCCCCAGGGTGGTTTTGATCAGTGTATGACACAGCAACAGAAGCAAGAATATTGACCTACCTTGCCTCCTGGTTTAGAACCAGGGGAGGAAGCTGCTGATGGTCACCCACCAACACAAACCTCTGAGAACAAAAAAGGGGGCCCAGGCAAACGGGCTGACTAATTTGAGAGGCTTCGTCCACGATACAAAAATCAAAGGTTTTCCGTGAAAATATTGGATGGCTTATTCCCATACAGGTCGTTGCAACTATCAGCTAAACATAAGTAGAAAAAAAAAAAAAAAAAAAAAAAAAACAGTATGTCAAAAAAGGTACTTGGGTTTTCCCATTTTTTAAATTAAAAGGTCAAAACCATGCCCCTACAACAGCAAGAATTCTTCAATATTATTTAATCCTGAAACATGTGTGTAATGTCCCCAAATTCAACAGCAAGCCAGGGATGGAAGCACAGGCCTATACCCCAACACTTAAGGGCAGCTGGGGTAGGAGGATCCGGCACTCAAGGGCAGGCTTGACTACATAGTGACTTCAAGGTGAGCCTGGTCTATAAGAGACTATATCAAAACAGGAAAGAGGGAAAGAAGGAAGAGAGGGAGGCAGGGAGGCAGGCAGGCAGGCAAACAAAAACTTTTTGTGGAGAAAGGTGGATCCCTGGGGCTCAACGGCCAGCCAGCCAACCTAGACTACTTGGCAACGCCTTGCCCAACAACAACAAAAAAAGGAGGACAGCACCTGAGGGATAGCAGAGGTTGTCGGGGGATGCCTACAGGCATGAGCCCACACACACATTAGACCCAGACTTACATTACTGTTATAGAGTTCTTCTAGAAGGGCTAGGGACTTAATGGATCTTGATCGGCAAATCTCCTCCTCTGTAAACTTCTGGATATCTGCATGGACCTTATGAGACTGACCCAAGCGCAGAAATCCTATTTTAAACTTGGCTAACTTCAAGAGAATATTGTCAACAGCAGAATGTGTATAGCTGGTCAACAGGACACTGAAGCCGCAGGCAGAGAGGATCCTTACCTAGAGAAGGGAGACAGAGAAAAACATGGCTCTGAACCCAGGTAACTGGTAACTACAGGCTTACAGTTTTCAGAAAGACCTGAATCTGAGAGGGATTAAGTAACTTTTCTAAAGAATTACCTATAAAAATTATACACTATTAATTTTTTTTATTATATCTTAAACTTATTTCTGTGTAGATATGCATGCTGTGACACATGAGTGAAGGTCAGAGGGCAACCTTCAGAAGTTGGTTCTCTCCCTCAGCCACATGGATCCTGGAATTGCATCCACGTCGCCAGGCTCAGTAACAAGTACTTTTGTTTGAGCCATCTTGCCAGCTTGAGGCATTTTTATTATGCTATTCATCATGCCAATCTCCCAGTGACCCTCTATCTAGCCAAAGACCCCAGAGTGGTGAGGGTATAGGCCTCTACCACCATGCCAAGTTAATTTGTCATTTTTTTTGTTTTGATGAGACAGGGTCTATGTATCTTTGGCTGGACTGGAACTGGACCATAGCCAGTTGACTTGAACTTACTGTCTCTGTCTCCCACTGATGGAATTAAAGGAACGAGTCATCACACCTGTAAAATCCAGCAGTTGTGACATCAACCATCACCTACTCAGGCCAGAAGAACCCAATATAAGCGTTAGTTTCAAAGCTTACAAGAGCACATATCGTAGTTGTCTTTCCAGTTCCTGGCATCCCCACAATGAGTGTGTAGTCTTTTGAAAGAAGTACTTTCTTCATTGCTTGCCTCTGAGGCTTATTCAAACCTGTATTTCAATTTAACAGAACAAAACAAGAATATTTAATTTCAATGAACTCCCCAGGCAGCCCTTGCATGCTCCACCACCACCCAAGGAACTTTTGTTTTCATACAGGCTCTTGCTATGTAGATTGTGTGGAATAGGCTGGTCCTGAAATGTCCTCTTTCCTTGGCTTCTTAAGTGCTGGGATTAGTTGTATACTACCATGCCTGGCTCATAAAGTCACCTTTTAAAAGAAAAACCAAAGTTGGGTGGTAGTGGCACATGCCTTTAGTCCCTGCACTTGAGTTTGAGACCAGCCAGGTCTACAAGAACAAGTTCCAGGACAGCCTCCAATATCACAGAGAAATCCTATCTCAAAAAACCTAAGTAAATAAAAATAAAAGAAAAAGCAAGCTGGGGGTGGTAGTGCACGCTTTTAGTCTGAGCAATGGGGAGGCAAAGGCAGGTGGTTCTGTGAGACCAGCCTGAACTGTCAGAGAAACCATGTCTCCAGAGAGAGAGAGAGAGAGGGGGGGGGGGGGAGGGAGAGAGAGAGAGAGAGAGAGAGAGAGAGAGAGAGAGAGGGGAAAAGCAAGCAAAGTATTTTGTTTTGTTTGTTTATGAGTCAGGGTTTTTTGTGTAGCCTTCGATATCCTAGAACAAGCTCTGTAGACCAGGCTGCTGTCAAACTCAGAGAGTCTTCTGCCTCTGTATGAGACTAAAGGTGTGCACTACCGCCAGGCTCAGTGATTTGCTTTTTAACACAAACTCTATTATGTAGTCAGGTTGACCAGGAACTCATCTGCTTCTACCTGCTAAGTAATGAAATTACAGATGTGAGCCAATGCTTTTTATGCGTATTTAGTATGCATACACTATATATATATGAACGCATTTTCAAATATATGTGAGTGCGTTTTTGTGTGTGCATCCTGATGGTCCAGGTTGATTAATACTGGGAGCCTTTCTCAGCCATGTTCTACCTTATTGATTGGAGCAGGTTAACCCTCAAACTCTCAATTAAACCCCAAACTTACCATTATGGTCCAGGATGGCTACCGAGCTTGCTCCAGGGATGGCCTGGTCTGGCTGTCTGTCATGCCCACAATATTTATATGGGTGTTGGGGATCTGAACTCCAGTCCTCACATTTACCTGTCAAGTACTTTATCACACTGAGTCTTTATCTACCTTTGTAAAACTTACTGTATGATGTGTGTACAGGAACATGTGTGCTAGCGCCTGTGTGGGGGCCAGGGGTCAATTTTCAGGAGCTGATGCTTTCCTTACACCATTTTTCTTTGGTTTGGTTTTTCAAGACAGGGTGTCTCTTGTGTAGCCCTGGCTTCCCTGGAACTTGCTTTGTAGAGCAGGCTGCCCTCGAACTCAAGAGATCTGCCTGCTTCTGCTTCCCAAATACTGGGATTAAAGTCATGCACCACCACTGCCTGGATTCCTTCCACTGTTTTGAGGCAGGATTTCCCTGCCTCAAGGTTAGCTGGCTGGACCAAGAACTGCAGGCTGGGTCTCCTGTTCCCACTCTCCCATCTCACCACAGGAGTGCTGGATTACAGATAAAAGCCGCTGCACCTTTATTTTTAAAATGGGTCACAGGGATCAAATGCAACTTGTCAGGCTTGCATGGAAAGTGCGTTTGCCCACTAATCCATTTCTCTGGTCCTTATAACTCATGTCTACTCAATTGCTAAACAACTGGACACTAGGCATAATTTAAGTTATAAAGGGAACCAAGAAAATCAAATCAAAATGCTGGCTATGGCATACCCTTTAGGATGTTGGCCACTGTATCCTTTGCATCATGTGGAAGAACGGAACTGAGGTAGGGTACAAACTGAGGTTCCTTGAAATCAATGATTAATTCTCGGAGTCTTTTGCTGCAAAGAAAAACAAAAGCACTTTCACTAGTATCTTTAGAAAAGTGAGGAGAGATTCAGGGCCCTTCATCATTACCAACCTGGTGTCGGTGTTTTCCATCAATTTAGAGAGATTTCCTAATGGGGTATCTGTATCACAATTTTTTTCTTCACGGTCTAATCTGAACAATGTTGTATCTGGAAGTGTTGACAAATTCCTAAAACAATAAAACAAATACAAACTGACGTGTTCATTTTGTACAGGTTGTGTAAGGCACATACTGCTACTGGCTAAAAGTGTAAAAGAGCTGAGTACAGGGGGTGCACCTGTAATACTGGCTCTTGGGAGGCGGAAGGTAGGAGCATCAAGGTCACCTCAGTTACACAGTGTGTTCCAGGTCAACCTGGAACACACATGCAAGCCCAAGCTTAACCATATACACACACAAAATAAGTGTGAATTTTTATAAACAGACCAGGTATGCTGAGGCACCTCTAATCACTTCCTTCCTTATATTTTACTGCCCCAAAGTCTCTAAAACCTCCATGTCATATTGCACCCCACCATCAGCCTTTCTGCAACATGTTCTGTCTTGTAGGGCTCCTTGTGCTGTCAGCTAACCTATGGATAAAAGAATGAATTAGCTTTCCTAACTAAGAAGGCTCTGAATGGAGAATGGAGATCATGGAAATCATTATTGTATATGTGTGTGAAGTGTAGGGGAAGTCATGTCACAGCGTGCAAGTGGAGGTCGGAAGACTACTTTTGTGGAGTGGCTCTCTCGCTTCTCCCTTTCTGTGGGTTCCTAGAATAAGGTCAGATTTGGGCAGCAAACACTTCCTCAACCATCTTGCCAGCCCCCATTGTTTTAATTACTGATTTCTACTGATTTCAATATACTAACAAGTGGTAATGAGAGATGGGAATGTAACTTGGTGATAGTTTTTACCTATTGCTGGTGAGGCCCTGGGTTCAAACCTAAAAACCTAAAGCATGAAAGAAAAAGAGCTGAAGAATGAGAACTATTAAGAGAGATTGGATATTGCCGGATGTGGTGGTACAAAGCTTCTTTGCATAAATAAATTTTTAAAAACATGGCAAAAGAACACAATATGCTGTGGCAAAAATACAATTACCAAAGACCTTACATTGAGTCACTCTGAAATGGTTAAGAGGAAAACTCCCTAACACAGGAAGCAGATTAGGAGCTTTGGAGGCCGAGCTAGAAGGATTGACAGTTCTTCTATAGCATGGGCTACATATCTAATTCCAGGCTAATCTAGACTACATAGCAAAAGCTTATCTCTGAATAGCTGACCCTGGCTAGAAAGTAAAGGGAAATGGTGATGAGTGCTAAAGGAGACATGCCTCTGGGTTATGAAAAGGTCTAAAGCTGGTGACAACTGTATTTTATTAGTTAATTAATTTTCACAGCACTAGAGATAGAACCTAGAGCCTGGTGGATGCCAGCAAGCACTCTGCCACTGGGTCACATCCCAGCCCTTTGTGTCCATCTCTGAAAATTGTCATTAATCACACTACTATGCACCATAAATGGATGGATACATGACCTATGAGTTCCACACTGACAAAGCTATTGCCCAAAGAAGCATTTTATTACCTGTCTAGCAAGCAGGTTACTGCTACTGTGTTAATCTCCTTCAGGTAGCCCTTAGACAAAGCAAATAGCTTTCTCTCTTCTCCACTTAAAATAATCCTGTCACCTGCCATCAGATTGGTGGCTGGCATGGCACCATTTTTCCGCTGAAAGTTATATAAGTACTGTCCATCACAAACTCTCTTCATAGGCTGCATCTGGACCAGGTTCCCAATGCAGTTGCCAACCTGCTCCCTACAAAAGAATGAGAGAAAATGTCCACTGACACTGTATATATGTTGTGTTTTTTTCCTACAATTTGTATATATAGCCCAGGAAAATTTAGAAAAAAATTAATTGTATGATGAGTGTGTGCACATGGGCAGAGCTACTTCTGTGAAGGTCAGAGGACAACTCCCAAGAGGCAGTTCTTCCCTTCCAGCGTGAATCCCAGGGATTACACTTAGATCATCAAGCTTAATTGTAAATGCATTCACTCCCAGGAGCCTATGGCCCCTGGAAATCAATGCTAACACATTTGTCCTTTAAAAAAAATTTTTTTTTTGGCTGGGTGGTGGTAGCACATTCCTTTAATCCCAATACTCAGAAGGCAGAGGCAGGAGGATCTATGTGAGTTTGAGGTCAGCCTGATCTAAAGAGCTAGTTCCAGGACAGCCAGGGCTACAGAGAGAAACCCTATCTTGAGAAACCAAAAAAAAAAAAAAAATCACCTGTGTTTGTATGTACATGGAGGCAAGAGATACCCCTGGGTATTTCTCCAGGAATTTTCATGTGACCTCTCTCTGGCTTGGAGCTAGACAATTAACCAAGCTGGCTGGCCAATGAACCTCCAGGATTTACCTGTGTCAGCGTCCTCTGCACTGGGATTACTTTTGACATGGGTGCAGGGGATTAAAACTCAGGTTCTCATGCTTTTGATACAAGCACTTTACCAACTGAGTGCTCATGAAACCGTGACTTTGACATACTACACAACCTCTATTGCTACGAATTGCAAATGCTGCGGTATGCCACCCACCACTGCTATGTATTCAGTGGATACCTACATTTCAGAAGCAGGCATTAACCAGACATTCTGATGATTCTTTCTACTGTTGTCTTTAGATTGTGACTCCAAGGTTAACATGAGACACCACAGACTGAAATACTTCAAGTGTGTTGGCTTCAGATGCCGTGTTTCTTCTTGGATTTTGAACAGCATGTCCTCTGGGACAGAAGTGTCATCCACTTGTTCTTCAACTGCTCTAAATACAAAATTCCAATTAGAACTGAACATACATTTCCCTGGCAGGCTGTGAAATAAGGTTTTCCTAAACTGAGCACACACACACACACACACACACACACACACACACACACACACACACACACGCACGCACGCGCACACACACACACAGCAGCATGCTTACCTGAAATAAAGAGCACAGTTGCCCTTCTGTGAACAATATCTACACGTTTTCTCTTCCTCGACTATCTGTGGAAGGGAAGCAAGCCGTGCCTCCCCACCAGAAGCAGCTCTGCTCACACGGTGCAGCAGGGAGAGTGCCAGCTGGTCCCTGAGCTTCAGCAGTTCTGCAGACAGGTAAAATTAGCTTTTCAGGATGAAGCAGATTTTCTGCCAGTGAAAGCTTCAGACTTAAAAACAAGAGTATGGGCATCTGTCTCTATATTAAAGTTAACCAGCTGCATACTGTGCTGGCACACTTCAAGGGTTTGAAACAACATCCTCTCGTACCTGGGAAGTACTATGAGTGGAGGACTCTCTAGTAGGCCCAAGCATTGCAGACAGGTTTTGCCTTTTCCCTTTCCTCTCCTTAGCTAAACCCTTACATTGCATTCCTGAAGGTACACCCAAGGTCCATTCTCTTATTTGGCTATTGACTCATCCTTATATTAAACACCAAGGTCACAATCAAAACTCATTACTTGGCTGCACTGGCTAACCTGTCCAATCAGGACTTACCCTAGTGCAGACTTCCCCTTTCTCTTCTCTCAATAACCACTCCTGCAAAAACTACCTGCTGCCTGCATTTGCTCAATATGAAGGGCACCATCCCTCTTCCATACCCCTCTAGGGCATTCTCTTTTATGCTCTGAGCACCGCCCCCCCACACACAGTGAGACCTACGTGCCCCAAATGCTGAATAATGGAATTAAAGGCATGCTCATCTTAAAATTCTTTTTAAAAAAAGAAGGAAGGAAGATAGAGAAAAAAAAGAAAGAAAGAAATGAACCAGTAAGATGGCTAAGCAGGTAGGGGAACATGCTGTGCAAACATGAAGACATGAGTTCAATCTCTGGAACCCACACAAAGGTGGAAGGAAAGAACGACTTCCACAAAGTTGTTCTTCAACTTCTATCCCTACTCTTCTCCCATGGATAATAAATATAAAATATGTAACTATAAATTTCAACCTGTAGTATGTTCTAACATAAAAGGGAGGGAATAGGGCCAGAAAGGTAAATAGGAAATGGAACAGTTCAACCTCTTTTGTCCAGATGGTTGGCGGGCACAGGGTACATCCTCCCGGTCTTGAGGTAGAGAAGCCAGCCAGCCTCGGGGTCCTCTCGTCTCTCCTGGCTTAGCAATGTGTACAGGACCACCTGTGTAAGACAAACTGTGACTTTCTCTCTCCCTAAATCATCTGGAACCAGCACACACAAAAAAGTTGGCAGCACAATTCCCACTGTGTAAATAGCACAAGCCAGCTTGGTGAAGGTGAAAAACCAAATTCAATGTCAGTCATTTAATCTGTACAAAACAAACAGCTCATACTATGCAGTTGTAGGCTCCCACTGATGGTGTGAACTGGGAGGTGGGGGCAGGGCTCAGCAGCAGAGCACCTACCCAAAAACCAGGAAAACAGAGACGGAGGGAGAAAAAGAGTTTCTCATGTCAATAGCTAAAGTCTAAAAAAAAAAATTAATCAAACTATGTTCCACATTTCCTTTATACATTATTTCCTGACTTAAACAAATGAACCCTTTAAAATGCTTACGATTTACATATAGTCATAATTCAACAAAACCAACAGTCACTTTTCCGAAGCAGGAACTCTTTGCCTGCCTGAGGGTGAACATTAACTGTGCCCTGGAGAGGAAGCCTCTAGGTCTAGCGCAAATAGTCTTCAGCACATCTTCAATCCCAGCACTCAGAAGGCAGAGGCAGGTGGATCCGAGTACCAGGATAGCTGCTCCACAGAGTGAGCTCCAGAACAGTCAGAACTAGAGAGTTTGTATCAAAAAGCCAATGGGTGAAAAATAATTTGGCAAGGGCTGGAGAAGGTGACTGAGAAGTTACAGAGTACAGACTGCAACAGGGCCAGCCCTGGGGAGTCAAAGGCAGGTATCTCTGTGAGTTCAAGGCCAGGTCTACAGCGAGAGATCTAGGACAGCTAAGCCTGTTTTACAGGGCTGTTACCCTGTCCCTACGAAAAGGAAAGGGAAGGGGAGGGGAGGGGAGGGAAAAAGGAAAGGGAATGGAAGAAAAGGACAGGACAGGACAGGAAAGGAAAAAGTGAAAGGGCCTGCTACTCTTCCAGGTTCACATCAAACACCCACCTGACCACTCACAGCATTTTAACTCTAGTTCCAGGGCATTTGGTGCTTTTTCTGGTGTTCATGGGAACCAGGCACACACATGGTGCATAGGCATATGCAAAGCTCCCATACAGATAAAATAAAAATAAATCTCAAGAGTTGATCCTCTCCTTCTCCCCTGGGATCCAGATATTGAACTCTGGTTGTCAGGCTTGAATACATGTATCTTCCCCACTGTGCCGTTTTGCTAGCCCCAAATAGCTGTTACTTCTCTCAGATAAAAACCAAAACAGTCAGGGCTGGAGAGATGGCTCAGTGGTTAAGAGCACAGTCTGCTCTTCCTGAGAACTTGGGTTCAATTCCCAGCACTCACATGGTAGCTCACAACTGTGTTACTCCAGTGCCAAGGAATCTGGCTCCCTCACACAGACATACATATAGGTAAAACACCAAGCACATGAAATAAAAACAAATTAAAAAATAATCAAGCCAGGCATAGCAATGCATGTTTTTAACCACAACACTTGGGAGGCAGAAGCAAAAGGATCTATCTCCATGAGTTCCAGGCCAGCTTGATGTACATGGCAAGCTACAGGACAGCTAAAACTAAATATAGACTTTGCCCCAAAAAAGAAAAAGATAGAAACAATCATATGGAAGTTGAAAATAAAAAAGTTGAAGGACTAGGGGTGAAAGAAATGGTACGTAGGTAATGTTCTAGGTAAACATTACATAGATAATGTTCCATGGTCAGCGAGGCATATGAAACACTAAGCTAAGTCTGCCTTAAATAAGCCAATGTACTTGGCAGAATTTCCAAATACATTTAGTTCCCCCACACACAGGAGTAAGAATTTGGTTTTAGAAACATTCACTTCTTTCTTTTTCTTGGTATCTGCTTGGGCAGGGAGTTTAGCATTATAACCTGGCCTGAATGGCTCCCAAGTTCAGCTGTTTTCATCTTTTAATTGTATTATTTTATGTGTATGGATATATTGGCTGCAAGTATGTCTATGTACCGTACAGGTGGCTGAAGAAGCCAAACAAGGCTGCTGGATCCCATGGCCAGGAAACTTGGGCCATGTGGGTGCTGGGAATCAAACTTGGGTCCTCTTGAAGAGTAGCCAGTACTCTTAACTGCAGAGCACTCTCCCCAGCCCCAAGGCAGCTCTCATACTAATTTGCTTAAGAAAATTTCCTATTGAGGATGTAAATACTGACAAAATAAGCTGAGTACACTGAATAACAATTACCAATTAAAAAGTGCAACTTTAAACAAAAACACTACTTGAATTGAATGAAGGTTAAGAAAACAACAGTGTATGCTTAAAGACCCTAAACCCTACAAATGTTTAAGATTTATACCTGGCTTCGATGTTCAATAGAATTTGATTCTTTGCCAGTTTTAAGCTCCAGCGGCATTATCTTATATTTTGTTTTACAATCTCGATGTATTTTGACACCAACTGTAACATCTATTTTGCCCTTCAATCCAAACCTAGGGGACCAAATGCTTTCTTCAATATCCAGTGACTTTATTACTTCAACGTTACAAGATGAATTTCTGTTACTACCATCACTTGGCCTAAAAAGAAACACAGAATACTTAATTACATCACAGCTCACTCCACACCTGCAGAGCTGACAACCACACAATTATCTCTTCTGGCTGCTGGGGGTTTTGTTGTTATATTCTGAAGTATACTACTGGCATCACAAGACAGAAAAGCTGCCATGTTCTTTGGCAAGTGACTGATCTGAATCCTGCAACACGCTGATATCAGGCTGCTGCTATAAGCCCCGTGGCTGTAACAACTGTCAAAGAATCACAGTGGTGTAAGGAGGTGCTTTCCAAAAATCATTTTAAGGCTTTATATGGTAGTGCTTGCTGTTAATCCCAGAACTCCAGATGCAGAAGCAGGAGATCTGTTGGTTCAAGGCTTACATGGTAAGTTCCAAGCCAGCCAAGACCATAATGGGAGACCATGTCACAAGAGAAAAAAAAAAATTCATAAAAGGCGAAGCAAGGGACTGGAGAGATGGCTCAGAGGTTAAGAGCACTGACTGCTCTTCAGGAGGTCCTGAGTTTAGTTTCCAACAACCACATGGTGGCTCATAACCATCTATAATGAGATCCAGTGCCCTCTTCTGGTATGTAAGAATACATGAATGTAGAATGTTATATACACAATAAATAAACAAATAAATCCTTTTTTAAAAAGGTGAAGCAAATTAAAGCTATTCTAACAGTGAAAGTGCTTATGAAGTGACATTGACTAACATTAGAATGAAAATAAAATTCTCTACTCATTAGCTCTTTCTGGTCATAGAAAGATACTGTAGATGAAAATTTATGAAAAACAATAACAAGATGATAAATTATAGAAGCTTAACCTTTAAGTCAGGCCTGCTGGTGCCTCAGGAGGCAGAGGCAAGTGGATCTCTGTGAGTTCAAGGCCAGAGTTCCAGGATAGTCAGGACTGTTATACAAAGAAACTCTGTCTCGAAAAACCAAAACAAACAAAAATAACTGAATAAACAAGCATAAAAGAATCCTGTCTAAAAATCTGAACACCACATAAACAAAATCCACTTCTTACAGGGAGAGCTGCATTTGAGGAAATTCAGTGGAAGGGCCCTTCTGCATGAAGTCCTCAGCCCACTTAGAAAAGGAAGGAAGATACTCCTCAACTTCACACTTTATTTCATCTGGACTCAGATTTAATCGATACCTGAGGGGAAAAATGGAAATTGGGTAAGAAAACATAAATACAAGAAATATAAATGAGGCCAGGTGGTAGTGGCCCACACCTCTAGTCCCAGCACTTGGGAGGCAGAAACAGGCAGATATCTGTGAGTTCAAGGCCAGCCTAGTCTATAAAGTGAGTTCCAGGACAGCCAAGGCTGTTATACAGAGAAACCCTGCCTCAAAAAGAGAGAAAGAAATATTGAAACAGGTTAATGAATGGATGTTTCCAAATGTGGTACAAACATAATAATAAATAAAGCACAGCTCAGCTTTAAAATATTCACAGGTTCAGAACATTCTCTCCATGTTTAAGTCTTTGGGGTTGAGCCCAGGTTTGTTTCCCCCCCCACCCTTAGGTGTCAGCTGTGGTGGACTTGGTAGCACACTCCTAATATCAAGTGCTATATAGCCCTGGTACATATAGTAAAATGGTGTTTACAGCAAGCTAACATGAGATAAATAGAGCAATCAGGGACGGCTCAGCTGTACAAGCCTGACAACTTAACTTCCATCTCCAGAACTCACATAAAGGTAAGAAATAAGTGACTCACAAAACTGAACTCTGACCTCTGAATGCACAGAGGCACATCTGCACACACACACACACACACACACACACACACACACAAACCTTAAAACATTTTACAAGGAAAAATAATTAAAATATATTCTTTGTTTCCCTTCAGAAAACCAGACTGGCCTGGAGCTATTAGAGTCTCTTGAATGTAGACATACAAGCATGAACTAGGTCTAGCTAAGATGGTAATTTCTTTGTTATATTTTACCCCAATTGGAAAAAAAAAAAATACAACTCAACTAAACATGACCTGACATCTAACTTCATGTTATGTGTTCCAGGTTCATCCGTGTCAGTTCTAATCTGAATGGTTGGTCCGTACTACACTTCTGAAATTAAAAAATAAAAAACTATAGAAGACGCTGTTCCTAAAACCAAGCAGTAGAGTATAAAGGTGAGTGTTTAAGAGATGGCCCAGAAGTTAAGAGCACTGGCTACTCTTTCAGAAGACCTGGTTCAATTTCCAGCACCTTTATGGCAGCTAACAAGCACCTGTATCCTGTTTTAAGCGATCTGACATCCTCCTCTGGCCTCCACCAGCACCTGTATGCAGGTGGTGCAAACATGGGCAAGCAAAACACCTATACACATAAAATTAAATTTAAATAAATAAATAAATAAATAAATAAGGTGCCCTTGTATTACCCAGACTGGCCAGAAACTCCTGGTCTCAAGTAATCCTTTACCTTTCCTCACACAAAGCTGGCAAATGGGTCTTTGTGAGTTCTGAAGCAGACTAGTCTACATAGCAAGTTCCAGGCTAGCTGGGGTAAGACCTTGTCTCAAAAAAAAGAATGTCACTAATAAAAAATCACGAAGAGCTGGGAATGTAGTTCAGTTGGTAGAGTGCTTGCCAAAAACACAGCAAGTCCTGGGTTCAATCCCCCAGCACTTCATAAAACTAGGCATGGTGACACATGACTAGGATATGACTAGGATTCCAATACTTGTTGAGAAGAATTGCAAGCTTGTGACATTTTAAATGTAACTGGCCCTCATAACTGTAGGGCCTTGCATGGACCCGAGGCACCTTGAGCTAGCCTGAAGCTGTTGGCCAGAACTCTTTGCCCCAAGGCTTTTGTTGGTACTCTTCCCATTTTGATGACACACACCTCGTGACAACACCCACCTAATAGGGAGGAGCTAAGCCTAAAAATTCCTGTAATTTTTCCACTGTGCTATAAGTCGGTATTTAAGCCCGTTCTTGCCCCTCAATAAAAGGCATTCGGCATTTGGTGTTCCGACTTTGCCATTGAATGAATGACCTGCTGTCTTGTCTTTATTTCAATCTCTAGGCCTTCGCCCGATTCGTGAAAGAGATGGTAGTGCAGGGCTACAAGTGGAGGTTCCACCGAGATCGGGAAAGAAAGGATCACCTAAGAGATCGCCCTCGAAGGCCGGCCAGCAAAAGTAAGTGAATGAGGGTGTATTGAAGGATGGGTGCCAGTAACTGTAAGGAAATATTCAGTGGGCAATTAGTGCCCTATTGAAAAGACAGGGCACCAGGATTAAAACAAGACTGCTAAAGAATTCATTCCCATAAAGTAAAAGAAATGGCATAGATGAATAGGACTTTTGAGGAAGTACAAGATTTAGAACAAAGGTTTAATAACCTAGGTAAAAGCCTTAGAAAAGGAAAGACAAGTGTTTCCAGTGATTTAGACAGTGGATCCTCAGGATAACAGGGTTAGGGAGCACAGCCCATTAAATTTTAAGGATATAAAACAGCTTAAAGAGGCTGTCACTTCTTATGGGCCTCATGCTCCTTTTACACAATTTTTGAGTCTTTCACAGCGTTAAATTGCACCCCTAGTGATTGGATGCAGCTCTGTAGAGCTGTGTTGAGTGGGGATGACTATTTGCTCTGGAGAGGCGAATTTCAAGAATTTTGCAAGAAAACCGCACAAAGTAATTCTGCTGCCGGATTTCCTGCTAGAAATTTAGATATGTTCACGAGCACTACAAGTGGAGGTCAATGTGCTACCATTGCAGCTCAAATTCTTTTTGACCCAGCAGTCTATGCTCAAAATGCTGCTACTGCTCCTAGAGCTTGGAAAGCCCTGCCTAAAAAGGCTGCAGGAGATCAACTATCTAAGGTATTGCAGGGACCGTCTGAGCCCTATTCAGAATTTGCAGACCACCTCCTACAGCTGGCAGGTCGCATTTTTGGTGATGTTGAAAATGCCATGCCCATAGTTAAAAAATTGGCATTCGAAAATGCAAACAAGTATTGTAAAGAGGCTTTACGTCCCAGTAAGGCCAAAAGTCTTAATGACTATATACACATATGTCGGGACATAGATGGTCATCACATTATGGGCCAGGTTATAGTTTCAGTCATGAAAAGAGGGGAGAAAAATGGAGGAGCCAGACCAAAGAGTTGCTTTGGATGTGGACAACCAGGACATTTCAAAAGGAACTGCTATGGCTCAAGAATGTAGTACTCAGTTTCTTAAATGATGATGAAGGACATAAGGTCTTTTTCAGCCTTTTGTGTTAAGTCATATCCCTGTTAATCTTTGGGGGCGAGATGTGCTTCAGGCCACGGGAGCAGTCCTTACTACTGAGCCTGTTAAAAATATGCTGTCTGACCAAGGTTATGTACAAGGAAAAGGGCTGGGTAAATTCCTACAAGGTGGCCCCTCAGTCTGTTGTATCTAAAAATTAATTATCAAAAGAGCCGGAGATCGCTCTGGGCTGGGAAAATTTCCTTCTATTAATTTTAAAGAGCCCTATAAGAAATATCAATAGGTGATGTTGCCTCAAGGAATGGCCAATAGTCCCACTATTTGTCAAATTTATGCATCATTGGCCACTTAGAGAGAAATTTCAATCCCTGTATATTATACATTATATGGATGATATTCTTTTAGCCCGGATTCTAAGGAAGTGAATGAGGCTTTTGGGGAATTGCAGCATAATCTTCAACTAGCTGGCTTAAAAATAGCCCCAGAAAAGGTGCAACAAAAATTTCCCTATCAATACCTGGGTCATCAATTGTTATATTCTGGTATCAGTCCTCAAAAGATTTCATATATTGGCTCCCTTAGAAACTGCTGCTTATATAGCTCCAGTCTCTTGTGTACGAGAACATTTACTAGCCATACAAAACCTACTATGGAGGCTCTCCCATCCAATTTTTGTAGGACATCTCCAAGCACATTCTGATTTGCCTGGCCCTTTAAGTGAAGGAAATGCCATTGCTGATTTTAATACTAAAACAGACAGTGCCATCATGATGATGAGAGAGTCTGGTTATAAAGCAGCTTGCAAAGCTCATACAACCTTCCACCTTAATGCAGGGTCACTTAAATTCCATTTTAAAATTACTAGAGACCAAGCTACTGATATAGTTAAGAATTGTTCCCTATGTGCAGAGTTCTTACCTGTTCTATACCTTGGAGTTAACCCTCTGGGTGTCACGCCTAATGATATCTGGCAGATGGATGTTACTCATGTTCCTTCCTTTGGTTGACTACAACTGTTCATGTATCTGTGGATACCCATTCTCATCTCATATTTGCCTCTGCTCATACTGGAAAAAGGCTTAAGGATGTTAAGAGCCATTGTTTACAAGCCTTTGCTTATATGAGAATGCCCAAACAATTAAAAACTGATAATGGCCCTGCTTATACTAGTCAGGGTTTTAACTCTTTTTGCAAAAATTTTTTTATTTCACATAAGACAGGTATCCCTTATAATCCTCAGGGTCAGGCCATGATGGAGCATGCACTTCGCACAATTAAAGCCTATCTTCATAAAACAAAAAAGGGGGAGTTTACAGGGTCTCCTCATAATCACCTTTCTCTTGTCCTTTATATTTTAAATTTTTTAACTATTGATGGTGCTGCTCGATCTGCGGCTGACAGGCATTGGCGCCCTCGGTCATCTGACTGGAAGAATGTCACTACTGGAAAATGGTGCGGCCCCAACCCAGTTCTAGTATGGGCACGAGGGTCAGTTTGTATCTTTCCACAAGATGCAGATAACCCTGTTTGGGTGCCTGAGCCGCTGATTCGCCATATGCGGAGGGATGGTGATTGTAACAGCCAGAAAGAAGGTCCGATGGGTCTTCAAGAATCTACCCATCCTGATGCCTGTGGGTCTGAGTAGCCATATGTGGCCTTTTTTCCTGACCATTAATTATAGTTTGGATCAAGAGGCTATAAATTTACAGTTTGATCCAAAGTACAAGAATTTCACCTTCATCTCAGGCACTGTATTCTGGTTCCATTCTTTTTGTTGTGACTAATGCTACTAATTTTGGAGAAAGTTTCAATTGTTCTCAGCAGGTCTGCCGACTGTAACAGCTGTCGTGGGCCACGTATCCCGGGTGTGCAGCAGAGAGGAAAGGAGATTCCAGGATCACGGCTGCCAGTGCTGCCTTCACCACTGAAGCAACAGTTTCTACCATAGCCCTCTCCCAATCTGAAAATACTGCAAGCACAGTGGATCAAGTAGCAGGTGATTTGGCTTAAGCCTTAGCTACCCAAAGAACACTTGATTATCTAGTACAAATTGGCATTTTTAAACTAAATTTACAAAGTAACCTCCTATAGGAACTCTTGAATTTTTGTGAGAAGCTCATATGGCTTCTTGCTCTGTCTTTCACACATCTGTGTTAATGCATCATTTTTCTCCAGAAATCCTGGAGTGATCAGTTTTTAAATTATACACATGCTTTAGCCATGCAGATCATTAACGTCTATGAAACCTGAGTGCCACTTGCCATTGCAGAAGGCCTTTTACTAGGACTTCAATTTGTGGGTAGAACATTGGGGTTTGTAGCCCTTGCACTTGGTGCTACTTTGCCACAGCATTAGACAGGCCCAGGCCAACTTTCTAACAAGACAGATACTGTCTTTGGCTCAAGAGAAAATGCCTCTGCCCAAGTGTGGCTGACAAACTATTCACCAGTTACAGGTAAGGCAGAGGGGGCAAATATCCAACCTAAGGCAGGAAGGTTACGGGCCTGGGTGACCTCTCCAATGACGGGTAAGGAATTATGCTGACGTCCTCTGCTACCTAAGCAGGTGTTAGTTTATATTAAAAGAAAGGGGGACCTGTAGGGCCCTGCATGGACCCCTGAGGCGCTTTGAGCTAGCCTGAAGCTGTTGGCCAGAACTCTTTGCCCCAAGGCTTTTGTTGGTACTCTTCCCGTTTTGATGACACACACCCTGTGACAACACACACCTCGTAGGGAGGAGCTAAGCCTAAAAATTCCTGTAATTTTCCACTGTGCTATAAGTCGGTATTTAAGCCCGTTCTTGCCCTTCAATAAAAGGCATTCGGCATTTGGTGTTCCGACTTTGCCATTGAATGAATGACCCGCTGTCTTGTCTTTATTTCAATCTCTAGGCCTTTGCCCGATTCGTGGAACAGAATTGGAGCGCAGGCACTGCAATAACCTTGTAGGGAGTGGCACTATTAGGAGATGTAGCTTTGTTGGAGTGGTTTTGAGTGGTGGAGTGTGGAGTGATTTTGAGAAGTGGGTCACTATGGGGGCGGGATTTGGTTTCTTACACTAAGGATACTGCCCACTGTCTCAGCCCCTTTCCTATTGCCTGCAAGATGTAGGATCTCAGTTACTACTCCACCACGTCTGCCTGCATGGCACCATGCTACCCGTCATTATAATGGACTGAACTTTTGAAACTATAAGGGAGCCACCCCAATTAAATGTTTTCCTTATAAGAGTTGCCAAGTTCAGCCAGGCTATGGTGATGCTTGCCTTTAATCCCAGCACTTGGGAGGCAGGGGCAGGTGGATCTCTGAGTTCCAGGCCAGTCTGGTCTACAGAGCGAGTTCCAGGTCAGGCTCCAAAGCTGCAGAGGAACCCTGCCTCAAAAACCATAGATAAATAAATAAATAAATAAAGGTCATGATGTCTCTTCACAGCAATAGAAACCCTACCTAAGACAACGCTAGAGACCAGCCTAAGCTAACAGCCATTGGGCCTTGTCAATCCTCCAGCTGCACATTCAGTGAGACCTGTCTCACAATAGAAAGTGGAAGCTGGATGTGGCTCGTATAACTTTAATCCCAACACTCAAGAGGCAGCATTCTTAGAGGCCAGAAGTGGGTGTTGGATCCCTGGGAGTTGTAGATAAGACAGATACAGGTGCTGGGAACCAAACTCTAACACCTGCAAAAGCAGGAAGTGCTCTTAACTGCTGAGCTTCCTAGCCCTCTTTTCCTTCACTTATTATTATTACTATTATTACTATTATTATTATTATTATTATTATTATTATTATTATTATTATTGAGACAGGGTCTCACTGTATAGCCTTGGCTGATTTAGAAGTCAGTATGTAGTCCAGGCTGGCCTCAGAATTGCAGAGATCTGCCTACCTTTGCCTCCCAAACAGGCCAATCTTTGTGTGAGAAACCACAAAAAATCTGCAAAAATATCACCCTTTTCAGACTTTTTAAGTCATTAAACTAGCAAAACTGGATGTGAATGCTCCCTTTTCCTACTTCCAAACCCAGACAGTGCTCATTATGTCCGTTTCTGAGGAAAGTTGAAGTATCTATGTAGCAGACTCCCTGCTTGAACATGTGTGGGGTATTTTAGTAATGTTACCCAAGAGTCCCTGTGGCCTAGATACACCACAGGGTACTGTGAGCAGGATGGCTGAACTTTGGCTATGCTAATTCATACCAAAGGGTCTCCTTCCAGAAACCTGAACTCTAGGCAAGAAGTTAGTTACTGGATGAGACTGCATCTGCCGTTCTTACAGTTACTTACATTTCCTTCAAATGCCTTATTTCTTCGAGAGTGTGAAAAGCAAGCTCTTGCAGCTTTTCTGGGGCAAAGCTCTCACTTATGGCTTTTTGAAACACTTCATGGAGAATTGTACCAATCAGCATTTGTCGAGTGGCTGGATCAGAGACCTATTAAAACAAGTCATTAGCACATCTCATGCTACAGCACATTAACACAATGGTTATGAAGTCAACATGAACTAAGACAAATGTTGGCTTCATAGTGATTTTCATGTTTTTCCCAGAATGGAAGTAATGATTGCGAAAGACTTATATAAAAGTTGAGATAATTCTAAATAGAAGAAAAGCAAAGGCACTTAACTTCTTGCCATCAGAATAAAATGTTTGTGGGATATGGTAGCCACAGTATTATTACCTCTACCTCCAAGCCAAGATTGACCACTGTGTGCCATGGACTATACTGCCCACAGAGCAATACTCTGCCTCAGAGGAGAGACCAGTGAATATCAGTAGGAGAGAGTTGTCAATGAGCTACCTTTGGGGCTCACAATCCCCTGTCCACCTAGTCTCAGGGGATTCAATGCCCTCTTCTAACCTCCAGAGGCACCAGGTACAAAAGCAGTGTACAGATATACATGCAGACAAAACATCCATACTTTTAGGAAAATGAATAAAGCAACAACAAAAACCTTTCCTAATATAATCTTAATTCACTATGAAAAACTCCAAGATATTTTCAAAGAGTTAATATTTTTAGAGTACTCTATTACTTAATAATCTGCCTTCTCCCAAAAAAAGGCAGCCAAGTGGTGGTTGTGCATGCCTTTAATTCCAGCACTTGGGAGGCAGAGGCAGGCAGATCTCAGTGAGTTCAAAGCCAGCCTAGTCTACAGAATGAGTTCCAGGACAGCCAGGACTGTTACACAGAGAAACCCTGTCTTGAAAATAATAAACTTTTTCTTTTTTTTTAAAGGCATGGATCATAAACTCCTGCAAGTAAAAGACATTATTCAGAGTTAGCAAGATGGTTCAGCTGGTAAAAGTGCTAACCCACAAACCTACTGACCTGAGTTCAATTCCTGACACCTACATCATAAACAGCCAGATGTGCCTTTAATCCCAGCACTTGGAAGACAGAAGCAGGCATATCTCTATGAGTTCAAGACCAGCCTGATTTTCAGAGTGAGTTCTAGGACAGACAGGGCCACACAGAGAAACTACCTCAAAAACAAACAAACAAACAAAAAACCCAAACAAACAAACAAAAAAATAGCTGGATGCAAGGAAGTGCAGGTGGTACCTGGCTCTAATCCCAATGTTTGAGAGGCAGCAGGTGTGTAGCCGCATGGGTCTGCCCACTTCCCTGAATTACTCACAGAAACATAACTTTTCCTCTTCTTCTTCTTGTTTTGCTTTTGGTTTTTTTGTTTGTTCCTTTTTTGAGACAGGATTTCTCTGTGTGTAGCCCTGGGCTGTCCTGGAACCCACTCTGTAGACCAGGCTGTCTTCAAACTCAAGAGATCCACCTGCCTTCTGAGTGCTGGGATCAAAGACGTGCACCACCACTGGCAGGCTCCTTTCTCCTTTCTACCTCTTTCTTATCATGCTTTTTGTAACACTCTGGGCTTCACCATTTTCCTAAAGTTCCCTGCCCAATCTTGTGGCTGCTTGTCTACCATGTAACTAACCTCCACACTGGCCTAACTCAAGCAGCATGGCTTTCTCTCTCCCTCCTGGGCAGCTACTGAGATTACAGCTTACCTCCTGTGAAGTTTTTCTTTCAAATCTAAAAAAATTGTCCTAGAACTTAAGAAGAAGAAAAGAGCTAGTCATGCACTTGCAGAGATAGGCACTGCTATTAAATGCTAAGTAAAATTCAATTCAAAGGACCAGATACCTGGTGTAAAGCACAACATTGCAATCACCAGTTATGTGACTCTGGGCAAACCACACAAGTGTTCGCAGCCCATTTGCCCTCTGTAAAGCAATCAGGTGAGGACTGAGTGGCTAGTGAGTGTGAGGGGCCCCTTAGGGGCTGAAGATACAGCCCAGGGGCAGAGCAAGGCCTTGGATCCCAGACTCGGCACAGCAGAGGAAAGCACTGTGTGAGGACTGAAGTCACTTACCCGGAAAGTCTCGCTCAGGACAGCTCTTCGCATACACCGAATACTACTGGCGACACTTGTGCCAGAGATCAGCATATCTGGGTACAGAATAAAATATCCAAAGTCATCATCTATTATCCAAGTCTCCGATGTGCAGTTTCCCTCTAAATGAATGATGTCCCCGGGCTCTACTGGTACCGAACACCTGAAAAAAAGGCAAGGTTGAAGCAGTAATGTATGATCCAGGTCCCCACAGTTAAACACACCCAGAAGCACTGAGTATTGTATCTGAAGAATAAATATTTCTAAACCTCTGGGTCTTAAATTTCATTTAAGTAAGGGGAGGGGCACTAAAGAGACAGCTCTATGGTTGAGAGCACTACCTGCCCTCGTAGAGGACCCGAGTTCAGTTCCCAGTGCCCACAGAAGGCTCACAACTGTCTGTAACTTTAAATACAGGGGGTCCAAAATCCTCTTCTGACTTCCACAGGCACAGGCACACAAATGGTGTTTGAACATATATACATGCAGGCAAACAGCCACAAAGTTTTTTTTTTTCATTAATTTATTATTTTATTTATTTATTTATTGTTTTGTCAAGACAGGGTTTCTCTGTATTGCTTTGGAGCCTGTCCTGGAACTAGTTCTGTAGACCAGGCTGGACTCAAACTCACAGAGATCCACCTGCCTCTGCCTCCCAAGTGCTGGGATTAAAGGTGTGCTCAGTTCATTTCTTAAAATTTTTATTATTATTTTATTTAGGCATATATGCATGTGTTCGATTGTATGTGCACAGATGTATGCAGTGCCCAAGGAGATCAGAGACCAGAAGAGAGTCTCAGATCCCTGTAGTTACAGGCACTTGTGAACTGCACTGGGAGCCAACCCCAGATTCCTACAAAGGCATCAAATGCTCTCAGCCACTGAACTATCTCTAAAATATTCCTTTTTGTCTCCCTTAAGAATTATTCTTTGACTTTTGTAACATATTTATTTTGTGTGTACGTGTTGGGTGGAGAGGATGCCAGTCCTCTTCTTCCACTATGTGGGTCTCAGGCATCAAACTTTGCCTGTGAGTTTTGGTGGCAGTCACTATTCCTCTTGAACTACCTCTACCTCCTTTTAAATAATTAACCCATACAAGACACTTGATGGGCTTTCAGATGATAGCCTAGTGTTGGACTGGAGCTCCCAGGAATCCCAGCATGTGGAGGTGAGTGGGGGGAAGCAAGTTAGACGGCAGTCTAAACTGCATGAGACCCTGTATTGGAAAGCAAGCAAAAACAAACCACCACTAGACCACACAATCACTGCTCAAAGTCAAGTGCCAGTCACCAGCCATTCCTCAGGATGCACAGCTCTTCCCGCTCCTGTTCCACCGACGCAGTGATGAACAGACGTTTTTCTTCATCTCCTCTTTCATTCTGCACAGTCTCCACAGCTAGCACCAGGTATCGGTTATCCTCTCCTTGGCTCAGGACCGTCTTAGGAAAGAAAGCTTTCACCTTCTTCTGAAGTCTAAAGCGGAAAACATAAAAACTATCCTATCAGAACAGAGCTGATTGACTGTACTATCTGGAAGCCAGCGTTCTAGTTTAAGTTTCTTTTTTTCCTAAAAACCTTAAACCAAACAAAAACACGGGGCCAGAATTCCTGTTATAAAGACTACGGCTGAAGCTTGGTTGGTAGAGTGTTTGACAAACATGTACAACCCCCCCCCCAGCAATGCATAAACTAAACAAACATCTGAGTGTGGTGGCTCATGCCTATAATCCCAGCACTTGGGAAGTCAAGACAGGAAAACCATTCCTGTCATTCTTAGATACGTAGGGAGTTTAGGCTAACCTGAACTACATGAAGCACCATTTCAAAACAAAAAGTGACTCCCCTCCTTGTAAAACATACATAAATAGCCAGGTGGTGGTGGTGGTGTATGCCTTTAATCTCAGCAGAGGCAGATGGATTTTTCCCAACTAACTGATATGCTGAGCAGGACACAGTTCAGTGGCATAGCGCCTGCTTGCCAGCCTGTGCCTCATCCCTATTACTGCTTAAAAGAGAGAGAAGGGGAGGGAGCTGGGGAGGGCAGCACAGGTTATCAAAATTCCTGCCAGGAGCTGCCAATCACACTAGTCTTTACAGCATTGAAGGGCTTAGGTCTACTGGATGCTGGTTTCCCCCAACCACTAAAGAAATCTAGTCCAACATACTACAGATGCAGGAAGAGGTAGCCTCCCTCTCCTTGTAAAGAAAGAAAACTCCCCCTCGGCTTTCCAGAGAAAGGTCTCCCAGTTCATGCCTAGGCTGGTCTCAACTGTGAATCTCAAGCACTCCAGGGCCCCATGAGTATCTGGAGTCATTAACAAGTCACCTGCTCTCTCCAGTTAAAACATCAAATGCTATCAGGCATGCTGGCACACACCTTTGATCCTAGCACTCTGTAGGCAGAGGCAAGAGGATCTCTGTGCATTCAAGGCCAGCCTGGTCTACAAAGAAAGTTCTACGTAGAGACCCTGCCTCAATAATCAGTAAGTTGAGTGAATGAATGAATGAATGAATGCCTTCCTCCTTCCCCTACCAATCCCTTCAGCTGGTACACAATCCATTCTTTGTAAATGTTTCACTCAACAGCTCCACTTAACCTCACACCAAGAGTTTCCTGAGGTAAGTGGTGACACCTACAGGATGTATTGTTCTTGCAGAGGACTTGAGTTCAATTCCCAGAACCAGCACCAGAAAGCTCACAACTGCTAGTAACTTCAGCTCCGGGAGATGCCTCTAAAATCAGACACATGCACACAAAACGTAAATTAATAATATGATTCGCATGACTAAAGGCGAATGCTGGCAAGACAGGAGTTGGCTCCCGCGGTCCCACGTGAAAGGCAAGAACTCCCATAGGTGCTCCTCCGACCTCCACACGCAAATGAAAAAATAAAATGAAATGCATCGTATTAATGGCACTGGTAAGGTATCCTATAGAAAACAGCGAGCTCAAGGTCAGCCTGGGCTACACAAGACCAGGTTCTAACTTAACAGTCGCAGAAGAGGCAAACCCTCCGGCTAAAGCCAGGGAAGGCTGCACCCGCCGCCCGCCCGCTCGCTCGCTCGCTCGCTCACTCACAGATCCTCCCGCGACGCAGCCTCCGGTCCACCACCCTCCTCCAGCAGCAGTAAGTCCAGCTCGTCCAGCGGCTCCATCCCTGCCGGGCCCCTGCCGCCCGGGACAAGCAGCTAAGTGAGGCGACCGCGGCGCCTAGAGCTCACAGCGCCAGAGACCGGCCAGTGCGCTACGCATGCGCAGGAGGAGCCCTGCGCGCCAGCGGCTCCCGCGCTCTCGGTGCCGGGAAGCACCGCGCAGGACCGGAGACGCTTTCCCGCCTTCCCTGAGTGACTGGACGCCTGAGTGAGCCAGTCTGGCTCACACGCCTCGTGTTTTATATTTGAGATAGCGTATCCCAAGCTGGCCTGGAACTCACAGCAATGCTCTGTCTCCGGCTTTCAACTGCAATGTTCACCATGCCCAGTTTACGGTTGAGCTGGTAAATGGGACTGTGACTAGGATGGCCGACCTGTTTTCTGGAACCCACATGGTGGTATGGTGCCCGGAGAACCAATCCCGGTAGGTCGTCCTCTGAGTTTCCGTATGTGCCCAAGCACGAGCCCCCCCCCCCCCACACACACACACACTCACACACACAAATCTTTTAAAAGATGCCACTTCGTAATTTCAACATTCTTCCATTCTGATTTCTGAACATGTGTGCACACCTGTATGTGTGCAAGTGTGGGGAGACCAGTGGTTCAACACTCAGCGCCTCCTGTGGCTGTTCACTTTATGAGACAGTCTGTATATTGTGTGGGAACTACGAATCTGAAAGTTACATAGCTGTTTGTCTCCTGAACTATCTCCCCAGCCCTCTCATTCTGATATTTTATATTTAACATTTTACCTTCAGTAATGCAAACATTTAAAGCCGCACTGTTGTGGTGTATGCCTTTAACCCCAGCACTCAAGAGGCAGAAACAGGCATATCTCTATAAATTTGAGGCCAGCCTAATATACAGAGAATTCCAAGACAGCCAGGGCTACACAGAGAAACCCTGTCTCAAAAAACAAAAGCAAACAAACAAACAAAAAAAAACATAATAATTGATGATGATGCAAACATTTAAAAAGAAATGTATCAGACCAGGTGTTGGTGGCCCATACCTTTAGTCACAGCACTTGAGAGGCAGAGGCAGGCGGGTCTCTGAATTTGAGGCCAGCCTGGTCTACAGAGTTGGCTAGTTCCAGGACAGGTTCCAAAACTACAGAGAAACCCTGTCTCCAAAAACAAAACAAAAACAAAAGAAAAAAAAGAAAGAAAATGTATCAGCCTCATGTGGTGGCACATATCTAAAACCCCAGCATAGGAGAGGCAGGAAGTGTCAGGCCAGCTTGGGTTACATAAAGAGACGGTTTCAAAAAACAAATAGGGAGATAGAGAAATGGCTCAATAGAAAAAGAATCTGTAACTCCAGTTCCAGGGATCCTATGTCCTATGTCTTACTTCTGGAATACCTACCAGGCATGTCTGTAGGCCACAGACATACATGCTGGCAAAACATTCATATACATAATATTAAATAAGAAAAATAAAACTAAATAAATAGGGCTGGATGAGGACCCAGTTCAGTGGCAAAGTGTTTACCTAGAATGTGCAAAGCCTTCGGGCTGATCTCGGTTCCACAGATGACAAATAAATAAACCACCAAAACAAGGATTAAAAATTTACTTTTAATATCTTATGGATTTTATAACAGACATAGAATGCAATTTCTTACTTTAAAAATATTTTCAGTTCTCTTTTATTGATAATATAACTGAGATATTTATTTTATAGGTTTTAATTACCTTAAGATTGAATGGAATAATTAGCTACAGTATGGTCCAGAAATAAAAATATACAAAAGAGCTTTATAAACAGATTTATCCCACTCCTGGTACACTTAAAGTCACAAAGTACAGGTTCATTTTTAAAGTAAATATTATAAAAATGAAACTAATTCATCCCATTTTTACCAAGATATGACAATAAATCTTTACAGGCCAAAAAAATGCAGAAAAAACATTAGCAGCTTAGATTTAATGTCTTAAAAATCACATCAAGTCTACAAATCACTACCTCTAAAGACAGAGGGTCTACTGCTTCTACTCCATGTCTCATGCTTACAACAAAAGAGAAAAAGTGCTCTAACATATTCTAAACAACTTTCTTTAAAATTTGTTTTATATTTACACTTAGGAGTATGACACACTAAACTTACTTTACATGGAAGAACTTGTATCTTGACATAATATTTTAGAAACATCGCTTCAGCTATATTCATGGTCCACTTAAATTTTCTAGTACACATCAAGTGATTTAAGACAAACATCTACAATGCTACTCTCCTTTTAAGAGCAGAGAGATTTAATGTTCATTATTACTGCCTTTGGGAAATATAGTGGCTTTTTAAAACTCTTAAAAATCAAAGTACCTGGTAATAGCATTTGAACAGAACCTGATTAAGTCTCTACTTTTTTAAAACACTACTAATTTTATTGAGAAATTAAGAGAGCTGAGGGTGTGGCTCCGTCATCGGTACACTACTTGCCTGGCATGTATGCACAAAGGTCCTAGATTCAATCCCCAAAGAAAGGAAAATAAAAATAAAGAAAAACTTTTCAAAACAATGGAGAAAAGGGTATCCTTTTATCAACCGGAGAAGAATTCTAAGAAGAAACATAACAAGAACACTACTTTGTTGCTGGCTATCTATGTTTCATAGAACTTAAATATTCACTTCTCATTCTGCTACAATAAACTAAGTCTGCTGATTTAATAACACTACAAAATGGCAGAGTGCTGGAGATGTAGTTCAGAGGTAGAGTGCTTATCTACCTACCAAGATAGGTGAGAGAGACCCTGAGTTTACTCCCCAGCGTAAGGAATGGAAGGATGGAGGGGGTGGGGGGAAATAACAAGCAGTATTAAGAGGGCTAGGGGTGTAGGCCATTGGTAGTGTGCAATTAGCATGCATGAGTTTGGTTCCCAGCACCTCACTAAAAAAGAAAAGGGCTAGGGATGTAGCTCAGTGTTATGGCGCTTGCTTCGCATGTGCAAGGCCATGGGTTCAATTCCCCCAGTACTGAGAAAAAAGAAGAAAAAAAGACAATCATAATTATAGGCTGGGGATGTGGCTTAGTTTTTGGCATGCAAAAGGCCCTAGATTTGATTCTAGTCCCTCCCCACCTCAATAATCACAATAACAATTAAGAAGTGTGGTAAAACTAATGACAGTCTCTTGAATTCCAACAGGAACCTACCTCTCCATCCAAGTAGTACTTTAAAATGATCAACAGATTACCACCATTGGTGTGAGATGATTTTTCAGGGTTCTAAGGTATAGTGTTTGGCATTAAAAAGTATGTTAGAACAGGCATGGTAGCACATGCCTAGAATCTTAGTACTTGGGAGGCAGAGGCAAGAGGATGGCCACAAGTCTGAGGCCAGCCAGGTCTCCACAGTTCCAAGCCAGTCAGGGTTACATATCTAGATCCCATCAAAAACAAAACAAAAAAATTACACTCAGCACGTTTGATCTATGATTTTAAAAACCAAAAGAAATCAAGTATTAAAACCCCAGTGGTTCCTGTAACAGGGCCAATGCCCCCTCAAGTAAGGTTTCCTTCACAATTAAGGTAACATTTATATATATTTCCTTCTGAGAATTTACTGAGAAAAACTTCATTGCAAGTCATAATTTTTTCTTTTAGTTAAGGTGGAAAAATTGCTTCATAAGTTCATAGGTTGTGAAAGCCACAGCTTGAGAGGGAATACAGCGGATGTAGTTCAGAGATAAGCCACGATACAATCCTTTCCGAATCCCATGGTGTCCATAGACATACTTCATAGTCTCCCGCATGGTACTGAAAGACAGTGGTAAAATGATGTAGTAGCTATTCATGAGTGGACAAAACCAGACCAGCTCAGAACCTAGAAGAGCTTCGTTTATTGTTGGTTGGTTGGTTGGTTGGTTTCTTCAGACAGAATCTTGTTCTATATTTGGCTGGCTTTGAACTGTAATCCTCTGCCTCCAAATCCTGCCTGGGGAAAGAGGACTTTGCCACCGGGCCCAGCCCATAGTAGCATTTGTTTGTTTGTTGTTGTTTGGTTGGTTTTTTGAGGCAGGGTTTCTCTGACTGTCCTGAAACTCGCTATGTAGACCAGGATGGCTTTGAATTCAGAGATCCATCCACCTGCCTCTGCCTCCTAAGTGCTAGAATTAAAAGAGTGCACCACCATCACCAGGCCCATAATAGCATTTTTAAAAGAGGTTTAGTTGGCTGTGGTTGCTCACACCTGTAACACTAGCACTTCAAAATCTAAAACAGTAGTTTCAGGCAAACCTGAGTTACAGAAAGAGACCCGTCTCAAAGAAAGCCATAAATATTTACATATATAAACACAAACACATACATGCATACATACAAACAAACAAACAAATGCATCCAGGTGGTGCACACCTATAAGCTTAGCACTTGGGAGATGGGAACAGGGGGATCAGTAGTTACAGGCTAGCCTTTGCTAAATCAAAGTTTGAGACCTGGCCTGAAGAGTTGGCTCAAAGGTAAAGAGAACTTCTTGCTCTTCCAGAGGACCCAGATTCAATTCCCAGCACCCACATAATGTTCCACAACCATCTGCAACTCCAGTCCCAGAGGATCCAATACCTCTTCTGACCTCAGCAGGCACCAGGAATAGACATGGTGCATAAACTTACATACAGGCAAAACATAGGTACACATAAAATAATAAAATAGATAAATCTTTAAAAAAAAAAAAAAAGTGGCCTGAATGTCCTACATGAAACTTTGTTTAAAGTACCATCTGGAATAGCTTTTGGAAGACAAAGGTTACATGTACTAACATATCACAACGAGAAGAGAACTCAAGGGCTGGAGAGATGGCTCAGCAGTTAAGAGCACTCACTGGCTGCTCTTCCAGAGGACCTGGGTTCAATTCCCAGCATCCATATAGCAGCTCACAACTGTCTATAACTCCAGTTCCAGGAGATCCGACACCCTCACATAGACATACAGACATGCAAGACACCGAACTTCATAAAATAAATAAGTCTAAGAAATACACTTTGAAAGAAAGGCAAGCATCCTACAGAGCACTTTCAGTCTCCTTAGCACAGTGTGCTGCCTGTACCACATCTGATGTTAGCTGACAACCCTGCCCCTTAATCACAATGATGGAAGCAAAGGCTGTATGATGAGCTTCTGCTCATTAGGCTGCCACTACAGTGCAATGTTTCTGCAGCTGCTTGGTGATGCAGGACTCAAGCTTGGGGAGACTGGCTGGCTTTCAAGATTGTTGGTGAGACAAGAGCCCTGTCTTCCTACTGACTTTACATATCACAGTTCCTAAGCAGAGGGTAGTCCATGCCTCTAATCACAGCACACAGCAGGGTAAAGCAGGAGGATGGTGCATGGTCAAGGCCAGATAGTACTATATAGTAAGTTCCTGTCTCAAAAACCAACAGACCAACCATCAAGCCAGTTAAAAGGCTCACACCCTCATCTCGGGCACTTGAAATTAAAGACAGGAAGATCATAGGCCGGGCAATGGTGGCGCAGGCCTTTAATTACAGTACTCAGGTGAAAGAAGCATGCATATCTCTGTGAGTTCCAGGCCAGCCAGGGCTACAGAGTGAGTTCCGGGACAGCTAGGACTATTACACACACAAAAAAAAAACCTGTCTCAAAAAAACAAAACAAAAAATGTTGGAAGCCAATGAAGGTTACTTGAGATATTATCTTTAAAAATAAGAAATTAAGCAGGTGGTGGTGACGCACACCTTAATCCCTGTACTCAGAGGTAGAGGCAGGCGAGTCCCTCTGAGTTGGAGGCCAGCCTGATCTACAGAGCTACATCTAGTATGTTCACAGGCTACACAAAGATACCCTGTCTAGAAAACAACAACAAAAAGACATAAATGTTTAAAAGAAAACATTACATTTCTAAACAGTTAGATATCAGAACACTTACAGGCACTTTTCAAACTCCGGTAGGACTGTCCCCAACTGCATTCTCCGACGGGTCACATCAAATGGGTAACTAAAGAAACAGAAAAATTAAAGACAAAAATAATCTCTCATTTCCTATTTGACAACCATTGAAACCAAAGTCCCATATCCAATGGCATTCCTGTTGCATGAAGATGTGTCTATGTGCTACCTCACCTGCCTGAGGCACCTGATTAGTTTAATAAAGACTGAGTGGCCAATTACCTATACAGGAGAGAATAGGTGGAACTTCTGGGTCTAAAAAGGAACTCAGGGTTAGAATCTGGCACTGCAGCAGTCATCAGTAAGACAAGGAGGGATTTGGATGTGCAGAATGGAGGAGAGGTAAAAGTCATAAGGCAGAATATAGATTAATAGAAACATGTTAATTTATGAGGTACTTGGGGACAATCCTAAACTAAAGGCCAAACTTTCATGATTAATAATGCCTCCATGTCATTATTTGGGGGCTGGTGGTCCAAAGTAAGTCTGACAAAAGACTAGCTTCACAGTCCAGCACTTTGCCTTTGCAGGTGGAGGCAGGAAGATCTGAAGTTCAAAGCCATCCTCAGCCACAATTAACAAGTTTAAGACCAGTTGGGGGAGGGAGGGGATAGAGAGAAAGAGAAGACAGGTTAAGCTTGGAGTCAATTGTGAGGAAAGGGAGGTGACAGAGTCAAAAAGAGGTCTAGAATATAGGGTGACTGTCACAGAACTGTGGTCCAGTCAGGTTCCCACAGTAAAGCAGATACCCTCTCCTTTATCTTCCACAGCATCATCAGCTTCCATCTGAATCTGCAGTCTGCTTTACTAGGGCAATTCTTGGTCCTGAGCGTCCTATCCAGCTGAGCTGACTCTGGCTTGGGGAGTATGGTGACAGCACTCCCTTCCTGCTGCCTCCCTGGTGCTCCAGACACACCCGCCCTTCACTATCACAAAGGCTCTCTCTGACTTTCTTTCCCTGAAGAATCCCTGTTCCTTAGTTTCCAGCCACTTACTTTTATTTCTTTCTACTTGATCTTTCTTGGCTTATAGAAATTTCTTAATACTGCCTTTTTAATTTTTTTTGCCACCACTGCCCAGCACCTTTCCAATTTTAATATAGTACTGCATTTATTAGAATGTTCCCTCTACATGCTAGCAGATTTAACTCCAGTTAAACACTGTACTGTTTCAATAAAAACAGCTTGGGTGCCAGGCAGTGGTGACACACCAAGCCAGCCTGGTCTACAGAATGAGTTCAAGGACAGCCAGGGCTGTTACATAGAAAAACTCTATCTCAAAAAAATAAGAAGATCATCCACTAGGAAACACAATATACACCACACACACACACACAAATAAACAAAAAGAATGCTTGCTCCTGTTCAGAGAACCTGAGTTCCATCTGAGCACCCATGTCAGGTGGTTCACAAACACCTGTAATGCCAGCTCCAGATCTGACACCCTCCTCTAGCCTCTGGAACTGTACCCTTATGCACAAACCCTCATATATACATAATTAAAAATAAGAACAAAACCTAAACAAAAGAGGCCTTGCTGGGCCAGCAATTTTATTTTCCCTTTGGTGAAACTTACAGTAATTCATATACTATCTGGAACAAAAACAGATTTTCAAGATTTAATGCTAAGGACTTTTATACACATGCACACGCACTAGATGTCTCAAACTTGAGAAAAATCTTGTGGGCAAATTGATGAGAACAAATGAATCATCATATTTAAGTGATTCTCTTGCTTTTATTCAAATGAATCCACAGAAACTGGGAAGATTTAGATTAATGTAATCAACCATCACATAATTACTATAACATACTTATGATGAAGGCATATCTGAAAGAAGTATTAAATTAATTCTTATCAAAATCAAGTTATACTTCATTGTGGAGAGAGAATAAGATGACTAACAGTGTTAGACACAACACAGAGAAATGACGACTGAAGTTGAGACACTTACGAAATTGTCTGTGCTATTGCTCCAGCAACACCACCACAAAGTAAGTTTATGTGAGTTTTCAAAACTAAGACATTGGGGTTATCAGAGGAAGGTCGGCCAAGCAGGGTGGGAGCATAGGAAAGCCCAACGCTCTTCAAGGTACCAAAGGTAAAAAAGGACACACCTGAAAAGCAAAATATAAACTCACCATAACATGAACCAAGAAAAAGAACTTCCTTACGTCATAATGAGTTCACTGAAGGAACCAAGTATGTATTTCCTAGTCTATGATAATTGCCTTAATATAAGATATTTAATTAATGTCTACAAATACTAATTTAAAGATATTACCACTTATCAAAAATATAGTATTGGTTTCTACACATTAATATACTGTGCATTGACGGGGAATTAAACAGTATTCCAAGGTAGAATTAAACAGTATTCCAACGTTTAAATTCAGTGAGGGGGATTCTGAGACAGTCTTATCATGTAACCCTGGCTGGTCTGGAACTCACTATATAGACCAGGCTGGCCTTAGCCTCTCAAAGGGCTGAGGTTAAAGGCATGTGATGGGAGATGCCATTATGTATATATGTTTCTCATACTGGTTAATGAATAAAGCACTGTTGGCCAATAGGAAAGGAAGATAGGAGGGACTAGGAGACAAGGAGGAGGCAGCATGGAGAGAAGGGAGAGAACAGAACCTCCATTCCTCCGCTCTCGGTAAGACCACGTGGAAATACATAGAAATGGGTTAATACTTAAGACAGAGCTAGCCGATAAGAAACAAGTAACTGGCCAACAGCATAATATCAAATACAGAGTCTCTGTGCGTTATTTGGGGCTGGCGCAGCGGCGGGACAAGACCGGGAGGCGGGTGGAAAAACCATACTCCTTACAGGCATGCACCACCACAACAAACCCATAATTCATAATTTTATATACATATACACACAATAAATAGATGTAATCAAAGTTGGGCATTGGTGGTGCACACCTTTAATCCCAGCACTTAGGAGGCAGAGGCAGGTGGATCTCAGTGACTTTGAGGCCATCCTGGTCTACAGAGTGAGCTTCAGGTCAAAAATAAAACAAAAAAAGAAATGAGAGAAAAAGGTTCTTGTTATTTCCTGGGTTGGCCCCAAACTCCCAGGCTGAGTTTTCTTACTTAACTTCTCAAGCAGCTGAGATCACAGGCATTCACCACCATGGCCAAACTTCAAATGTAGCTAAGGATGATCTTGAAATTTTGACTCTCCTGCCTCCACCTCCCCAGTGTGCCATCACACTTTTTTAACTTTATTTTATCTTACAATTTTATGTATATGAGTGTACATGCACAACATACATGCCTGGTGCCTGCAGAGGCAAGGAGAGGGTGTTAGATATCTGAACTGGAGTAACAGATAATTGTAAGCCATTATGTGGGTACCAGGAACCAAACTCTGGTCTTCTGCAAGAGCAGCCATTTACTCTTAACCACTGAGCCATCTCTCCAGCTCCAAACCTGAATTCTTAAAATCTAAGTGTTCATTAATAAGGCTTTAACTAAGTCAGAAATTAATAAAAAGACATAAAATTACATTTCTACTCAGTGTACCTAAATAAATTTTTTATACAATGGTCTGAATAACCATGTATGAATCACAACTCTATCTTCATCATCAAGTAGAAAACATTTCCAGATAGTATATTCTCATGTTGTCACTTTAAAAACACTGATGACATAAACACAAAGTAGGATGCTGTCAAATTTCATTTAGTTTTGCCTTGATCTGCTTTATTTTTGAGACGGGAATCTCTCCCTTGATGGGAGATGTCATTCTGTAAATATGTTTCTCATACTGGTTAATGAATAAAGCACTGTTGGCCAATAGGAAAGGAAGATAGGCGGGACTAGGAGACAAGGAGGAAGGAGTAAGGAGGAGTCAAGATGGAGAGACTGGGGAGATCAGACACCTGTCCCACTCCCCAGTAAGGTGAAACCACGTGGAAATGCATAGATCAACAGAAATGAGTTAATACTTAAGAGTTAGCCGATAAGAAACTAGTACCTGGCCAACAGCATTATATCAAATACAGAGTCTCTGTGCGTTAATTGGGGCCGGGGCAACGGTGGGAAACAATACTCCTTACACTCCCTATGTAGCCCTGGCTGGCCTGGAGTTCACCATGTAGACCAGCCTGGCTTCCAACTAACAGAGATCCACCTGCCTCTGCCTCCTGAGTGCTGGGATGAAAGATATGCACCACCTGCCTGGCCCAATTTAAATCATACCTGCATATGGAGCCATTCCTAATATAGTAGGCATCAGACCTCTGTAGAATCCAAGGAAACCACCTTCCTTTAAATGAAGAAAACCAGAAGATTATGGTATTCATAATCATTATGATGAACATCCAAATAAAAGCATAACACAATAGAAACAACCCCAGGACTCACCTGAAATGCAAATATGGACAGACTTATCAGGATTATTAATGCTGTGATCATTAACAACATCCTCCCTCCCTCCTCCACTCTTTTTCCTGTGGTCCTGGACTTGTGCAGGGAAGGTAAATGCTCTTCCACTAATCTATAATCTACACCCTTAAACTAGTACCATTAATTCCAAATACAGGAAAAGGTAGATAGCCTTCAATGTTTTCCTAAATATAAGAAGACATTCTATAAATTTGGAAAGTGCAATGAAATACCTTAGCATAAATTGTCTTGAATGCATGAATGATCCCTGAATAGGTGTGTTCCCCTTTCACCTGGAAGGCTAGACGCACCCTAACCACATCAAGAGGGTAAGTGCAGATAACTGCTGTCATGCCTGAAAAGAACAGAATCACAAATGTAAAATCAGAGACATATAGATATACACACACTCACATACACACCCACACATACAACTAAATAAATTCAAAATTTTTTAAGGCATGAAAAAAATACTCCTTTATTTTGTGTTTATATTTTGCTTTTTTGTTGTTTTGTTTTTTATTTGTCTTGGGGGTTTTTGTTTGTTTGTGGGTTTTTTGTTTGTTTTGTTTTGTTTTTTGTTTTTTCCAGACAGCATTTCTCTGTGAAGTCCTGGATGTCCTGGAACTCACTCTGTAGACCAGGCTGGCCTTGAACTCACAGAAATCTACCTGCCTCTGCCCCCTGAGTGCTGGGGTTAAAGGTGTGCACCACTGCTGCCTGGTTATTTTTTGCTTTTTTGACATTGTCTTGCTATGTAGTCCAGGCTGGGCACCAAGTTTCAGTGAACCTCATGCCTCAGCCTCCAGAATGCTAGGAATCTAGGCAGGCACCACTATGGTGGCAAAAACTCTTGATTAAAAAACCTCAATAGAGACAGGTGGTGGTGGTCCACCTGCCTCTGCTTCCCAAATGCTGGCATTAAAGGCTTGAGTTTCCACAACAGGCCCATGATCTAGCTTTTTTGTTTTGTTTTTCCAGACAAGGTTTCTCTGTGTAATAGTCTTGGCTGTCCTAGAATTCACTTTGCAGACCAGAGCTGAGCATGATGGCATGTGCCTGTAATTCCAGCATTTGAGAGTCTGAGGCAATTGGAATGTGAGGTCTAGGCTAGTCCAGGCAAAAGAACCATGCCCACCCCCATCCACCCCCAAGAAAGAGAGAATGTGCTTGCTGGCATTCAGGAGGCTGAGACAGGAGAGTTACCAAGGCCAGAGTGAGTTATAAAGAGAGTTCCAGGCTAGCTCAGGCCACAAACACAGAAGCAAAACAAAGCCACAAGCCAACAAAACCAGAACATATACTTGAGCTATGCTAAGTAGCCATGTACTAATTTTACATGAAGATCTTCATTTTAAAAGTGAAAGCATTCAAGTTCAAACTCAAGAGCACAGACAAGTCATTAGCTTAGAAAGTTTAATAACATTCCCTCCATTTTAGAAGAAGTTCAATTCTAATGACAATTTGTCTTCTTTATTTTGGCTCTAATTTGTTGTTGTTGCTTTAGTCCATCTCACTATGTAGTCCTGGCTGTCCAGGAACTTTGCTGTTTAGTCCAAATTGGCTCTAACTCAGAGATCCACCTCCCCCTGCTTGCTGAATGCTGGAATTAAAGGTGTGCACCATGACACAAAGCTTAAATATTTAAAGTTACCTTTCTGTTTCTGTGTTTTGTGGTGGATCTGCATGTGTGTATGCAAAAAAGGCCTGGGCCACACTGTGCAAGCAGAGGCAGAGGACAACTGTGGGAGTTGGTTCTCTCCTTCCACCACATTCCACCTGCTAAGCTATCTCTGCATTTCCTCCTTTTGCTTTTTTCTTTGGTTGGTTGGTTGGTTTTGGTTTATCGAGACAGAGTTTCTCTATGTAACAGTCCTGCTGTCCTAGAACTCACTCTGTAGACCAGGCTGGCCTTGAACGCAGAGTTCTGCATGCCTCTGCCTCCAGGGTGCTGGGATTAAAGGTGTACATCACTGGTACTTGGCTAACAATAAATATTTATTTAAAATAAAGATTTTATTTTTAATTTTGTCTGTCTGTCCATCTGTCTGTGTATGGGTATGTGCTAGAGAGTACAGGTACCCATGGAGGACAGATGCATCAGATCCTCCTTGAACTAAATACCAGGAACTATGAACCACCTAAAGGGAAAGCTAAGAACTAACCCCAGTCCTCTGTAAGAGCAGAAATGGGGCTACAGAGATGGTGTGTAAGTTAAGAGTACATACTACTCTTTCAGAAGACCCAGCACCCATGCTTGGCATCCCACACAGCCAATAACTCTATCTCCAAAGGATCCACCCTCTTCTGGCTTCCATGGACAGGTGTGTAAACACACACACACACACACACACACACGAATAATAAATAAAAATAAATATTGAAATACAGGCCAGCCAGGACTACATAGTGAGATTATATCTCAAAATAATAATTGTAAATCTATCTGAATAAATCTATTTTTTTAAAAAAAGCAGCAAGTACTTTTAACTACTTAGCCATCTCTATAGCCCCCAAAATTAAGCACTTTAATATAAAGAAAACTTACTTATCAGATATAAAATGTACCTATTCCTCTTACCTGCCATGGATCCAGCCATTAATCTGTGCACATGACCAGAAACTCCCAGCTTTGTAGTAATGAACTAGAAACCAAAAACACTGAATTAAAGGACAGTCTATGCTATGTGTTAAAATAGTTAGAAGAGCCAGAGAGAAGGCTCAGAAGTCAAGAGCACTTACTGCTCTTGCAGCTGACATGGATTCAGTTCCCACCACCCACAAGGCTCATAACTATCATGCAGTTTCGGTGGATACAGCGCCCTCTTCTGGCTACTACAGGCAGAAGACATTCACAGTACACATGCACGCGCACGTGCATGCACACACATATATATAAAGGCAAAACACTTAGACACATTAAAATTATCTTTTTAAAAATTGTAAAAAAATTAGTTGCTGGGCAGTAGTGGTACACGCCTTTAATCTCAACACTCAGGAGCCAGAGACAGGTCCTCTGTGAGTTCGAGACCAGCCTGATCTACAAGCGCTAGCTCCAGGACAGGCTCCAAAGCTACACAGAGAAATCCTGTCTCAGAAAAAACAAACAAAAATCCTATTAATATATTATTAGTTTCTCTTTTAAAAAACTTTTAGTTTTTATTCATTTTATTTTGTGTATATGCATGTGTGTGTGTGATTGTGCACATTCATGGAAGTTAGGGAATAACTGGGATTGAATTTAGGTCGCTAGGCTTGGCAAAAGTTACCCTTACCCTCTGAGCCACCACACTGACCCTCTATCTTTTTGAAAGACACTTTTGAGGTGGTCATGGTGGTATATGCTTATAACTTCAGCACTTGGGAAGAGAAGGAAGATTAGGAGTTCAAAGCCAGCACTGGGTACATAGTACACACCAAGCCAGCCTTACATAATAAATTCCAGGCCCCATCTCAAAACAAACAGGAAATGAGAAGATGCTCAGTTGGGAAAGTGCTTACTTGATTCATAGCACTCATGTCATCACCAGTCCACAAGGTCCTAGGCTCAATCCCCAGTACCAGAAAAAATCCAATGCACAGTATGGTGATATACCATGTAATTCCTGAAGGTGGGAGGCAGAGGCAAATAATCATCCATTCAAACCCAGCCTGTGCTTTACATGACAAGAGTTTAAAAACAACAAATGATGTAAGGACCTACAGGATGGCTCAGCAGAAGAGTCACTTGCCACCAACCCTGACAACCTGAGTCCAAACCATGGGACCCACATGATGGAAGGACTTCCACACGTGTTCTCTGACTTCCATGTGTACACCACAGCATGTACACATCACACACACACACACAAATAAAAACAAATGTCTGGTATTAAACATAATATTAAAAGAGATGAAAGAGAGAAAAATCCAACTACCGTTTTGTAATGTTCAAATGCCATGAACTGGATTGCACCATAGGGAAAAATTCGAATCATCATTGCACCATTTCCTTTGTACAATCCAAGGTATCCTTCTTTTTGGGGAACAGCACGAAGTGTAGAAAGTACCCCTATTTATGGAGAAAGTGTAGAAGAAAAACACTATTAAAGCCATGAAAACTAACTCTGAGTCAAGTATGTGACTCACATCTGTAATCTTTCTTAACTGTTTTTGTTTTGTTCTCCTTTTTCTTTTTTTCTTTTCTTTTTTTTTTTTTTTTTTTTTAAAGACTTATTATGTACACAGTGATGTATTCCTGCTTGCCAGAAGAGGGCATCAGATCTCATTACAGAGGGTTGTGAGCCACAATGTGGTTGCTGGGAATTGAACTCAGGACCTCTGGAAGTACAGCCAGTGCTCTTAACCTCTGAGCCATCTCTCCCTTGTTCTCCTTTTTCTGTTAGCATGTATTTATTTTTTTTTACTGTGTGTGTATTTGAGAATGTGTGCACACTGGTGTGTTCATGTCACTGTGCATGTGTAGAGTCAGAGGACAGCTGTGAAGAGCCAGTTCTCTCCTTCTGTACTTATATGGGTTCTGGGGATCAAACTCAAGTCATTAGACTTATATGGCAAGCATTTGACCAACTGGGCCCTCTTATTGGCCCTCATTTTTGTTCTTTTTCTTTCTTTGTTTTTTTTTTGTTTGTTTTTTTTGTTTTTGTTTTTGTTGTGTGTGGTGTGGTGTGGTGGTGTGGTGGTGTGGTGTGTGTGTGTGGTATTGTTTTATGAGAGTTTCACTATATAGCTTCACCTGGTCCAAAATTTGCAGACATCTGCATGCCCCTGACTTCTGAAAACAGGATTAAAGACACATGCTATCAACTGACCCCCCTGTTTTGTTCTTTTTCCTAACTGTAATTTCAACATAGGGAGGCTAAGGGAGGAAGATGGTATACTCAAGGTCAACCTGGGCATATAAGTTTGAGACCAACATAAACAACAGTATGTCTCAATGCTCCTTCCTCCAATAAACATATCTAAGTTCAAATTTTCATAGAAAACACTAACAGAGATTACTAACCATCATTCATAATGAAACTGTATTTAAGGAACCCATAATTTCATAAGTGTTTTGTTTTGTTTTCTTAAGACAGGTTCTCTTACAACCCAGGTTGGCCTCAAACACACTACACAGCCAAGAATAACCTTGAGTCCTGATCCTCCTGCCCCCACCTCTCAAGTGCTAGGATTATTAGCATGCCTGACCATAATGGTAATTTTTTAACAATTTATTTTATTTAATATACACAACTGTTTTGCCTATGTGTATATGTATTACATGAGTGACAGGTGCCCAAAAAATTCAAAAAAGAGCATTGGATCCCCTGGAAATGGAGCCATAGATAATCATGAGCCACTGTATGGGTGCTGAGAACTAAGCCCAGGTCTTCTACAAGAATAACAAGTGCTTCCAACCTTTGAGCCATCTCTCCAGCCCACAACAGAAGTGGTACTTTCTACATAACAGTTAAACTGCACCATTTATCTAAATCATATAATAAGCTTTACTAATATAAAATATAAGGTTTATCACTGAGATGCACATGGTAGTGCAAACCTTTAACCCCAGTACTGGAAAGGCAGAGGCTGGTAGACCTCTGTGAGTTCAAGGCCAGTATCATATACATAGTGAGTTTCACAGAACAGAGCTATGTAAAGAGATCCTGCACCAAAAATAAATAAACAAATAATAGATAAATAAATAAACCAACAAAGAAAACTTACCACTATAAGAACAGCTATAAATCTTTACAAAAATATGTTTATAATCATAGCAAATAATATTGAATGAACCAAAACCACCTAACAAGATTAACAACAGTACTAAATATACCTGAGGTTCAAATACTGCACTGACGATTAGACCTACCTGAAACAATGACAGAAGGTTCCTTAGGCTGGCCTAAATACAAGTTTATTTCTGTAAGAAAATAACAAAAAAGGAAGCAAAAGGAAAAGGCTTCTCTGGGAACTGGGTACTGTGGGAAAGCTGAGTGGCAGAGCTCTTGGTTAGCATGTGTGAGGCACCAGGTTCGATAATCAGCACCAGAAACAAAATTTCAAAAAGACAGGCAGGAGATGGTGGTGCATGCCTTCAATCTCAACACTCTGGAGGCCGAGGCAGGTGGATCTCTACGGCCAGCCTGGTCTACAGAGTTGAGTTCCAGGACAGCCAGGATTACACAGTAAACCCAGGAAAACCCAAAACCAAAAAAATTAAAAAAGTCTGCAACTGCTTAATATGAGGATACTTTTGCCCTTGGGAATACTGACAAAGGACTTAGCTCTACTCCACCTATTAATATCTTTACAAATTATCAACATGAATCACTAATGCAATTAGCAGAATCCACTGGGGTATGTGCCAAGATGGCCAGTGGATATCTAAAACTTCACATAGTATCAAACCTCAGGAATACTATGTTTTTCCTGTACAAACAGGGTTTCTCTGTGGCTTTGGAGGCTGTCCTGGAACTAGCTCTTGTGGACCAGGCTGGCCTGGAACTCACAGAGATCTGCCTGCCTATGCCTCCCGAGTGCTGGGACTAAAGGCATGCGCCACCACCGCCGGGCACTTATGATGAACTTTAATTCATAAATCAGGTACAATAAACTGCATAATGGCACTCTCCAGTAATATCAGCACTCGGGGCTGAGACAGAAGGACTGCCATGAAACTGAAGCCATTCTGTGCTACAGAGTGAATTCTAGGCTAGCCTAAGTTACAGTGAGATCTTATATCAAAAAGCTAAAAGTTAATTAAGTAAAATAGATAAAAGAAAAAAAACCAGTTATGGGGACTCATGCCTATACTCTGAATATTTGAGTGGCTGAGGCAGGAACCAAAACTGAATAGGGAGGCCTAAGGCAAAAAAAGAGGGAAATATTAGTTCCTTGCAAAGTTTGGCCTTAAACATTAATTCTCTTTTTACTACTCTCTCTACAAGAAAACAAATAGATACTGTTTCATCCCTTTTCATCTTTAGCATCTGTTCTAGATAGTTTTTTATGTCAACTTGACATAAGCTAGAGTCATGTGAGAGGAGAGAAGCTCAATTGAGAAAATGCCTCCATAAAATAGGGCTGTAGGCAGACCTGTAGGGTATTTTCTGAATCAGCGATTGATGGATGAGAGCCCAGCCCATTGTGAATGGTGCCATCCCTGGACAGATGGTCCCTGCTTCTATAAGAAAGTAGACTGAGCAAGCTATAAGGTGCAAGCCAATAAGCAGCACCCTCCATGGCCTCTGCATCAGCTCCTGCCTCCAGATTCCTGCCCTGTTTGAGCTCCTGACTCCCTTCAGCATAAGTTAAATAAGCCTTTCCTCCCCAACATGTTTTGTGTCATGGTGTTTCATCACAGCAACAGAAACCCACACTAGAACAGCATCTGTAACTCACCTAAATGTTTGTAATGGTGGTTGTGAGCTTGTAATAAGACCTTTACTCGATCCAAAGGAGCAACTGTGGTTTTGGCACAGCACCCAGCAATACCTAAGATAAAATGGAAAGGTCAGAAAGAATCTCTTCCTAAAGGGAAATCATCCCAGGTCCAGTCAGTATCCCAACTGTGGTTAAGTTTGGTCCTCATGGGTAGAGCTGCTTAAATAGGGTTATGAGACGGTTGGTCCCCATTCCCTGTAACTTAAAAACAAGCTCTAAGAGTATACAGCAATGCAGTCCCCAATGCCTGGTGAACAGAAGGCAAGTTCTATTTGAAACTCCTAGAAATGTTTTTCACTAGAACATCAAAACAACCATTGCCCATGAAATTAATCATTCACTCACTATGCAGCAAGAACACAATGTGTGCCTGTACTATTGCACTGGCACATGGTATACATGGAAGCAGAGACATGCTTATAGGAAGTTCACTTAGATACCTGAGATGGCAGCCTACCGAAAAGGATGGTTCTAAAATGACCAAGTAGAGGACATGGTGACACACACTAGCCTTTGGGAACTTAAAGGCAAGAGAATTGCTGTGAGTTCCCTTTGCTGCAAATACAGGCTTCTAGGCCAGTTTGAACAACAGAGTGATGTCATTCTCAAAAAAATTAGACAAGTGTCAGGCAGTGGCAATACATGCCTTTAATCCTAGCACTTGGGAGGTAGAAGTAGACAGATCTATGTGAGTCTGAGGCCAACCTAATGTATAGTGCAATCTAGGATACCCAGAGCTACAGGGCTACATAGAGAGATCCTGTCTCAAGAAAAAGAGAAAGGGGGTGGGTAGCACACACCTTTTATCCCTGCACTCAAGAAGCAGGTGGATACCTGTGAGTTCAAGGTCAGCCTGGTCTAAAAACCAAGTTCTAGAACAACTGGAGTTACACAGAGAAACTGTCTTGAAAAAACAAATGTGTCACATTAAGACACAATGGAATTGGAGTGTGCTACTATGACCAGCCAAAAGATCTTTCTTTTGTGTGTGTGTGTGTGTGTGTGTGTGTGTGTGTGTGTGTGTGTGTGTGTGTGTGTTCATTCACATATATAGTTTACAGAACCATCCAGGATAGGCTCCAAACCAATACAGAGAAATCTTGTCTCGAAAAACCAAACCCAAACTAAACAAACAAACAAAAACAATGAATCATTGTGGGGAAGTAAGAGAAACATCTACACACACAGAAAGGAAGAGGAAATCTGAGACGTGTAAACCTTTTGGTTTTGTAGCCACAGCTACAGTACTTCTTTTTAAGCAATTGCAGCTTGTCTACCACGATTCCCAGAACCAGTCTTGGTCATAGGCAGTTTTGCATAATATCCCTAGTCATTTTAGGCTTTTTGTTTTGTTTTGTTTTGTTTTTCAAGACAAGGTTTGTCTGTCCTGGCACTCGCTGTGTTGACCAGGATAGCTTCGCACTCATGTAAATCTACTGTCTCTGGCTCCCGACTGCTCCACCACAGCCCGGCTCAGTTTTGTTTTTGAGACATAGTATCACTATGCATTCCAAGCTTGCCTGGAACTTGCTATGTAGACCACGTTTACCTCAAAGATCTGCCTGTCTCTACATCCATAGAACTCATATTAACGGCACTTGACAGCTCATATCCTAGTCTATTTTTAAAAGCTGGCCTCCAGAGCCTGGTGATGGTGGCACACGCCTGCAATTCCATTACTTGGGAGGTAGAGGCAGGAGAATCAGGAGTTCAAAGCCAGCTTCAACTACATAATGAGGCTGGGGTGGTGATGGGGCTACAAGAAATAGTCTCTTATTCTCAACACCTCTCTCCTCTTTAACACACACACACACACACACACACACACAAACACACACACGGGAAAGGGGCGCGAGCGCAAACTGGCCTCCATCCCCAGTATTTGTTTTCCTTTGAAGCAAACAGCAAAATCCAAACCTACACTGTCACTCAGATTATCTGCAAAAGAAAGGGGTGCCCATCACGTCCCACCTAAGGGAACCTTTTCTTTTCAACCACTGGGAACAGGCGCTGGGTTAAGCGTGTCTCTGGGGGGCGGTGGAGGGATTAGCTCGGGCGGAAGAGACTGAGATAAACGCCGGGCTGGGTGCTGCAGCAGAGGTCCCGGGCTGTCACCGCGGCCGCTGGCTCTGACCTGCCGGCGGCCCGGCTTCTCCAACCCAGTCCCCCAGTCCCGGCGGCGACACCTACCTCCGGCCAGGAAGGAACGCAGCCAGTAGAAGTCTCGGCGCGAGGTCGGACCTCCGCTCCCCGGCGCCTGCGGCACCGCGGGTGCAGGGTCGGCCGCTGCCAGGGCCGCCGCCGCCGCCGCCGCCATCGGCACCTGCGCCACGTCCCGAACCTTCGCTGCCAACTTACAAAACACAGGGCAGCACCATGGCTGGAGCCGGCTCTGACAAGAGCAGAGTCGCCGGGCGGGCGGGGCCAGATGATGCCGGTGGCGCGGCGGGCGACGCGGAATGATGACGCACTGACAGCTGCGTCCCGGCCGAGGGGGTCCTGGATTAGGGCGGAAGTGGGCATCACCCCGTGGTGCTTGCACGCTCAAAGACCTGGTGTACTGACTGAAGGTTCATGGAGATCTGCTCTTTCAAAGCTCACCACCTCGTTAGCCAACTGAGTGTTTCAAGCCTTCAGTATGCAGACCCTATCTCCGGCTCATGCCTGTAATTCTAGAATCCTCTGGATTCTGAAGCAGGAAGATCACCTTCAGATCAAGGCAAGCCTGGGTATCAGATTGACTTCCACACTATCCAGAGCTTCAAAGAGAGACTCTGTTTCAAAATAAAAAGCTAGGCCAGCGCCGGGAGTTAGTGGCTCATGGCTTTAGTCCCAGCACTCAGGAGACAGAAGCAGGTGCTTCTCTGTGAATTCGAGGCCAACCTGGTCTCCAGAGCTAGTTTCAGGACAGGTCCCTAAGCACACAGAGAAACCCTGTCCGGGGGGAGGAGGGAGGGGGAAAAAAAGGAAGAAAAAGAAAAGGCTAGGCCAGCAAGATGGCTGGACTCCCTTAGTTATCTCCAGGACCTGCTTAGTTGAAGGAGACAGTTGATTTCCCACAAGTTGTTCTCTGATCTCCACACATCCACCATGGCAATGCGCGCGCGTACATACACACACGGTAAGAAACGTTGAGGGCTGAAGAGATGGTTCAGCGGTTAAGAGCACATTGTTCTTGCAGAGTACCTGGGTTCAGTTTCCAGAAGCCACATAGTGGCTCACAAATCATGCATAACTACAGCTCCAGGAAATCCTGGAGTGTCTTTGAATTCCATGACTATCACACCATGCATGTAGTACATATTTATCCAGGCAAAACATATACCAAATAAATATATATGAAATAAATATTTAAAAATAAAGTAGCCAGGCTGGGCATTGGTGGCACACGCCCTTATAAATAGATAAATAAGCCAGGGGTAGAGCGATGGCTCAGTGATTAAAAGCATTAGCTGCTCTTCCAGAGGTCTTGACTTCAATTCCCAGCATCCATGTGGTGTCTCACAACCATCTCTAGTAAGATCTGTTGCCCTCTTCTGGCATAAAGGTATGCATGCAGATAGAAAACATATACGTAGAAAATAAATAAAATCTAAAAATAAATAAAGTAGCCATGCCAGGCAGTGATGGCTTACACCTTTAATCCCAGCATTTAAGAGAAAGAGGCAGGCAGACCTCTGGGTGTTCAAGGCCAGCCTGATCTACATAGCTAATTCTAGGACAGCCGGGGATATACAAGAAACCCTGTCTCAAAATTTAAGTTGTTACACTGAGTCTAATGGTGCATGCCTGTAATCTTATCACTCTGAAGGTGGAAACTGGATGGTGGGGATTTTAAGGCCATCTTCAGTTATGTGAAACTATGTAGAAAACTAAGTTGGGCTACATGAAATTCCCCCAAAGAAAAGAGACAACACCAACAAAACAAACAAAAACTACCTCAGAAAGTTCCCAGCTGTTGGCTTCTATTGGTCATTGGCTTTTAACAGCCCCTGGGACTACCCTCTGACCTCCCTAAAATGTACCCTTTCTAGAACCTAAGTACTGGCTCCCTGTTCTTTCTAAGAATCTCTGAACTTAGTCCTATCTCCTACCAAATCAGCTCTGTCCTAGCAGAGCACCTCATTCAACTACAACTTCCCAGGAAGCTTCCACTCCACCCATACCACTGCTGAATAGATGTGCATCAGGCATTAGCACAAGCAGCTCAGCCTTACTGAGTTTTCTGATCCACTCCCCTCTTCCACCAGTCATATCCTTCACTATCTGACACACAAACAATAAATCCTCAGAAATGTGCTGGTTTATTCCCTTCTAACCCACCGTGTTCACACACTCTCTACCTTTCTCTTTTATTTTCCCTCCTTTTCTCCCTTCCTCTATCTCTGACTTCCTAGGGCCCCACTGTGTAGACTTGGCTTGTTTGAAGGTTCTAGCAGGATGGTACAGCCCATTCCTATACACTCTATCAAAGACCTGTCCTCTATTTGGGGGAAGGTCATCCTATTTGGGGAAGGGTTCGATAACTACTTGTCTGCACTCAGGTGTAAAGGACCCCTTTAAAAAAAAAGAAGACCCTGCCCACTCACACTGTCTTCCCGTCTCTTTCCTGGTGTTCCCCTGGAGCAGACAGGACTTTTCCTGTCTCCCTCTTCTTTTCTATCTTCTCTCTGTCTCTGTGTCTCTTCACCTCCCCCCCCCCTTCCCTTTCTAATGAAACTTCTCACTAAGCTCTGTCTGCCTGGCATGTTTGTCCCCCACCTTGGTCACCCTCCCCTGCCATGGAATCCATCAATATTCCCCTAGAGCTTTGTCATAACATTTGGTCCTTCATGTTTTATATTAACAGTACTAAAAACTAAATGTGACTCAGGCTGGTCTTGATCTGAGATACTTCTTCCTCAAGCCCCTCAATGTGCAAAGAATAAAGGATTTCACCACCACTCCTGGGGTGCTCTCTACCTGTCTCTCTCTCTCTCTATCTCTCTCTCTATCTCTCTCTCTCGTGTGTGTGCGTGTGTGTGTGTGTGTGTGTGTGTGTGTGTGTGTGTGTGTGTGTGTGAAAGACAGACAGACACAGAGAGAGAGTGAGAGAGATGAAGGACACTGGGATCTATTGAACTCAGAGCTTAGCAAATGTTAGGCAGACAGACACTTTAACCCATCAGAATTTTTTTTTCAAGGACGGTGTTTCTCTGTGTTGCTTTGCCCATCAGGATTTCTAACTGGTATTTAGGTTATCCATATTGAAATCACTGATCTTCTTTCCTAAGTATACCATTCATTCAGTAATCAGGAACTTTGTATTCTGTCCACAAACTAGAAAAACCACAAACACAGTTAGTTTCCCTGCTTTCTCTCGCCCTCTACTGTCAGTTCTTGACATAACAGCTAATGCAATTTTTAAAAGTAAATGTACATTTATGTTGTGGTTTGGGGGAGCTCTAGTGTGGAGGACTCAAAACACCTTATGTAGTAGGTTTCTTTTCTCCTTCTATCATGTGTCTCCTGGGATTGAACTTTTGGGGCTTCAGGTTTAGTATAAATTACCCTTATTCCACTGTGCCATCTTACTGATCCTACAGACCTAAGTTTAACATGGCGACTCATGCTTGTGATGACTGCATTGGAGAGGCCAAGGCAGGAAAAGTGTGAAGCCAGCCTACTCTCATGGTTCCTTCAAGGTCAGCCTGGGCTACAGAGTAAAACTCTGTTAGAGGAAATATAAGATTAAGAGCTTGGGGATATAGCTAAGCTACCTAGAATTCAGCAAACTCTAACATGATCCTCAGCACCAATATAACTGGCTATACCAGAAAGAGACCCTGTCTCAAATTCTAAAAAAATTCAGTGAGCAAGCTTATATTCTATATAAGTGAACACCCACTGTAGGTCAATAGTTAGAGCGCCATTAGACACACTGGCTTCCTTGCTGGTACAGATGTGTGCTGCCACACCAAGCAGATGATGAACACACAGAAAGAGCAATCATCTAAGAAAACGTATTCATTGGCTGAAAGAGAGAAGAATAGTACTGTCTCTCAAATTATTTGCTTTTTTAAGGGATGCATTGCATGTGAAACTAACAGGAAAACATATTACACAAAAGATGGAAGCAGGGGTGCAGCTGGGCATGGTGACTCATTCGGACCCTCCAAAGATACAGGTGAATTCCTGTTTTTGAGTCCAGCCTGGTCTACATAAAGAGTTCCAGGCCAACATGGACATGGTGGTTGGTGTACCATACCTTTAATCCCAGCACTTGGGAGGCAGAGGCAGACATATCTTTGTGAATTCAAGGCCAGCCTTGTCTACAGAACAAGTTCCAGGACAGGCTCCAAAGCACCACCACTGCCCAGGTAAACTTCTGATTCTCCTGTCTCTACCTCTCAAATGTTGGGGTTACAGGCATTTACCACCACATCCTTTTTTCTGCATTGCTGGGAATGCTATATTTTTATTTATTTATTTATTTTCCTGTTTTGAGACAGGGTTTCTCTGTATTGCCTTGGAGCCTGTTCTGGGACTCACTCTGTAGACCAGGCTGGCCTTGAATTCACACAGATCCCGCCTGCCTCTGCCTCCCAAGTGATGGGACTAAATTCATGTGCCTGGGGTGCTATATTTTTAAAAGCAAGTTTCCATTTACTATGAGAATCAAGTTGCTCTTTGCTCTGTTTCCTGGGACCTGACGTTCCCCAGCCCACAACCTTGATGTGTTTTTTGAGTGATGACCACATGATTTTTTTTTTTTTTTTGGTCTCCCTTCTATAAAACTACTTGTGATTTTACTCTTTAAAGGGAGTCTAAGAGATGAATTCTGGCTGTTCTCTTTAACTCATCTTAGGAGGCAGTCACTGGTCAGCTCTTGGGTGTACCTCAATCAAAAAAAAAAAATCAAGCTTGCTTCAAATTTGGCTCAAAATATGGTAGTGGTTTTATTCTAGCCAATAAGATTAATAGCAGACACAGGCTTGATTAGACCCCTTCTACAATACAGAAGAAGATTGAAACTGGAGAAAGGAGCAGTGCCTTAGTGCCTTAGTGGTCTTCCATTTTTAATCTCCCAGCTTTTTTTTTTTTTTTTTTTTTTTAGAGACAGGGTTCTCTGTGTAACAGCTCTGGCTATCCTGGAATCTGTAGACCAGGCTGGCCTGGAACTCATAGAGATCAGCCTGACTCTGTCTCCCGAGTGCTGTGATTAAAGACCATTGCCAGGCTTCCCAGTTTGTGTTTTTGAGATAGGGTTTCATTAGTTAAGGCAGGTCTCAAACCTGCTGAGTCTGAGGAGGACCTTGTAGGACCCTGCATGGACCCCCGAGGTGCCTTGAGCAAGCCTGAAGCTGTTGGCTGGAACTCCTGGTCCCAAGGCTGTTGTTGGTACTCTTCCGGTTTTGATGACACACTCCTCGTGACAACACACAAGGAACTA